GAGAGAGAGAGAGACCGTCCTAGAAAACGCCATGCTTGACTATGTCACCAAGGGTAGAGTCATGAAGAGCCAACTTCAATGGCTCATGAGCAACTGCCCTTGGTAGTACATGAGCTTGGTTTGAGGTGTCAATAATTCTTTCCAGCCGATCAACTGAGCGGCATGTGAACTGGGAACACGCCAAATCCAGCACAACCCTGGTAGTCCGATTCCGCTTTGGGATCCAATCGCCCTTTATCTCCTGCCAACCTAGGTGCTAATGCTTCCTCCTCTGCATCCAGCTGGTATCGCCTGTTGCCTTCCAGGCAGAAAAGCTTTAGAAGTTGGGAGACTCTCGGATCAACTACATAGCCGGACTGATTAGAAGAGTTACTGGCAACGATCATATGCCCAATGGAGCGTTCCAATGTCACGTGGGCCATATTCCGGAGTCGCTATGTGTACCCTTGAGGAAATGTCTTTCAGCGGTTAGAACAATCTTGGATAACCATGGGCTCTGTATTCCTTTATTTGTTCCAGAAACTGGGAGCATCCGAGAATTGGCTGCCGTTGTTGGTCGTTGTGAGATCAGCTTGCTGGTCGATCTGAACAGCCGTGTCTCGGTTTAACCTCGCACGGCAGCGTCAAGGCTGGATGCCACTCATCTTGATCTTCTTTGCCCAACAGTTACGAAATATCATCTGTCAGAGGAAATCGCCTGGATTTGAATCAAGATCACTACGAGCTCGACACGCTGTGGAGGGGAACAGTGGCAAGCATCACGACGCAAAACGGGATGGTCCAACTTCTCTTTTTTGGCGAATTTGGTGGCTGGAATGCGTTTGAGGGCCAGATTCCATTATGCACCAAGCCTGAGAATACTGTCGCGTCGGGGCTGCAGATACGGCATATTATCGGGTTGTCGAGGGTCCTGTTCGCGTACTCAAACATCGTACCGACAGTGACCACAGCGAATTCTGTGTTGAATTCAAGTCTTGTTAGTCACTCTGATAATTTGGGTTTAAGCCGTGATCCGTAGATCTAGTCAGTGCTTCCGTAGTACACCACATAGGAATTGAACTTCATCTTATGTCGGGGGACTCTTGCTGTTGTCGGTTTCGCACCCTCAGCGTTTCCAAAGGCTCCGTCTTCCATGTTGAGGAGCTAAAAGGGGAAGATCCCGTCGCGAGAATAACGGTTTCAGTAAAAGCCGTGCAGTGGTTTTCTCAGAAAGCCACTTTAAAGTTCCTCAATCCCTCCATGAAAACAAGCCCTCGACTCTGTGGTGACTGCAACGGGCTCAGCCTTCTTGGGTAACTCGCTCCGCACTTACGATATGGATGATAGCAAGGAATGGGTCTTACCGAAGGCATCGCGGACATTCGAGAAGCCCGTGCCGAAACAAGTTTGCATGCCGCTGTTAGTTCTTGGAATGATTCATTGCACCATTTTTAGTTGACACCGACTCTCCAGAATGCTGATTATCCCATACTTCACTCAACTACAGACATAGTAGAGCCAAAGTCGTCATTGCCTTCGGACACCACAGAGACCTGAGGCCGAGCTGAAAGAAAAAATGGACAACATTCGTTTAATGATAACAGTTGTGAACGAAAATATGTACAATATGTGCTGGGATTTGATATGTAAGCTGCTTGGCAAGAATGCTCGCGCAAAAAAAGCCACATGACCTCGCCAAGGAGCTAACAAGATTCAACACTCTTGTACACAGTACTTTGAGCAGTGTTTCCATCAAACCTCGACGATGATCAAATATCGCCAACCCCTTTGCCTTATAGACCACGCACAGACGTCCAGGGTGATCAGGACACAAAAGGATCGCTTGGTTGTCGAGGCTGCACTGGCCAATCAGCGAGGCTGACAACTCCAGGAACCCCGCTCAGACCTCTAATCAGGCGAATCCAGACCGCCAAACGTCCAGAATTTCTGGGCTTTTGGACATTTTGCTGCATCCCTCCACAGCCTGCATGCGAGGACATGCCGTCCCGCTTACCCGGATTTATTTTGCCATGCAGCTGCAACAAAACAACGTGAGCTTTGCGAGTTCGGATGGAAGTTGTCCCACCCGTTTATCTCAAAGAGCCCTAAAGCTCGAGTAAGACGGACTTTAGCGCAAGGCTGGAGTACGGAGGGCCTGAGATTCCTAAAGATATTTTGTCGGGCCCTGCTGTAGGCTTTGCCAGGTCGTTGAAGAAGAGATGCACCCAGGTCGTGGCGGAAACTCCGGATCTTGGCACTTGCTCTTGCAGCCTGGCAACCTGCCAACGTTGATCGCTTTGGTTGAGACCCGACCGGTCGGGCCGTTGTTGCAGTCAAGGCTCCCGCTCGCTCAAAGAGCTCCCATGTCCATCGGTTCCATCTCAGGTCCCCGTCCCGCGCAACAATTGACCTCCGCCAAGCCAAGCAGTCCCGAATCGCCCAGAAAATCGACCCCGATCAGCCGCGGAGGGTCCCGATTTGGCCTGGCTGCTGGCCTGCTGCGTGCGTTTGGTGTTTGGTGGTGTTTGCCCCAACCGGGCGCGGCACCGCACGGCCCTGCATGCATTTCGCATGTGTGCTGCGCTGCAGCGCTGCAGACAAACATGCTGTGGGATGGGGAATGATGGGCATGGCGGATGGTCCTGCGGGATTGCGGGACACAAGCGACCACAGAAAAGATCAAGATGGTGTCCACTCCGCCCAGCCCACGCTCTGGGCACCCTCCTCCAGTCGATGGACGCCTGCGACTACATCGTTCCCACAATTCCCAGCGCTCAGCCCGCGGCATGTGGGCCTGGATCGCCCGAGATTTGACAATCTAAGCTGGGCGTCAGATCGCTGTCGCTTTTTCTCGAACCCATGTCACCTCTGGCCGTTGATTCCCCATAACTTGTCTTGTCCCTTGTCCAAATTATCCCTGGTCTGCTGGCTGCCTTTAAACCTCATCCTCTTCCCTCTCGCCCTCAGCAGCAGATAACGCGGCGGTCTCGTCGCTCCTCTGCTGACCACGACCTGTAACGGACGCCCATCATGACCTCCAAGTGCGACAGGTGTTGAGATCTGAGAAGAACACGACACTGACTCCAGGCGGCGCTGATTGCATGTCGCAACTCATCCATGTTTACCTGAACGTGCCCCCTTAACCTCCCCCGGCTCGCTCATAGGATTCTTCGTCTCTGTCACGGGTCACCATGGTCACCTACGTGCCTCTCTCAGTGAACAAACGAGGCCGCGACATGGTCATCGTGCTGTGGACCATGAGCGCGGTCTCCGCTGTCTTTCTCGGGCTTCGACTGTACACCAAAGTGTTGCGCCGCCGCCGACTGTACTGGGATGACTACTTCATTCTTGCTGCTTGGGTATGGCATCAAATATGCTCCTGTGCCCCGCCGTTGCCTCGCTCGTCCTTGTCTAACCGGCCTAATCCAAGATCCTCCTTGCCCTCAGCGCCTCATCGACGACGGCTAATGTCCGCCGAGGCTTCGGGCAGCATATTTTTGAAATTCCCTTGGAGAACTTGGTGGATATCACGTTTGGCGTCCTAAGTAACATCTCTGGTTTCGCTTCCATCCTAGCCGTCGCATGCAGCAAGACCTCCTTCGCGATCACGCTCCTTCGGCTATCTGATGGCTGGATGAAGTGGTTCATTTGGAGCCTGCTTATTCTGCTCAATACCAGCCACTACCTCAGTGCCCTATTCTTTTGGGTATCATGCAATCCACCGGCGAAGACGTACAACAGAACGCTCCCCGGCACATGCTGGCCTGACTATGTCAGCCGCAATTACAGCTTTTTTGTTGGAGGTGCGAGACTTGCCAGATGAGCATGATCAAAACAGATCACTAATGGTGGGATAGCCTGCTCTGCCTTCAGCGACTTTGCCTTGGCCCTGCTACCGTGGCGAATTCTTCTGCGATACAATATGTACAACCGCGAGAAGATTGGCGTAGCTATTGCCATGAGCATGGGAGTCTTGTACGTTCACGTTGCCCTAGCCAGTCGCCTTCGCAACTTACTGACCAGCCATTACTCCTACAGCGCGGGGGTAATCTGTATCATCAAAATGACCACCATCCCTCTTCTCTATGGCGATGACTTCACTTGTAAGGGCTCTTCGCCTCGACTCTTTCCTTGCAGTTTTTCTCTCGTAGTCATCGGTCATCGCCAACTAACCTCATTTGACAGATGAGTCCTTTCCCCTTGTTGTCTGGGGTTTCGTCGAGCCCGCAGTCACAATCATGGCAGCGTCCATCCCGATGCTGCGCCACCTCTTCAAGTCCCTTCGTCGCGATGGAGACCTGTCGACGACCACGTCTGGTCTGCGGACCGCCCAGTCGACTACCAACCAGCCAACCAACCGCCGACAAAACTTCTTGCAAAACTTGCGCAAGCATGCTGGCGAAAAGGAGGGAGATGATGGACCTACAGTGGCGAGAGAAAGCAAGGCAGATTTGGAAAAAGCAGTGCTGACTTCGAACGGAAAAGACAGTGCCACCACTGCTGCTGAGAAGAGTGGCGATGACAATCGCAGCGACTCGAGTATTTTAGCGAAGGTACAACTTCAGGGGACGAGCAGTGCCTGCCCGAGCAATGATAAAGGAGGGAGGGGAGTTTTTATGAGTAAACTTGGGAAAGCTACATAAAGACTCGGATGAGACGGGTAAAAGAACAGAAGGACCTGAAGGAGTTGGATACACACATGAGGAATCAGCGTCGCATTTTTTTTGGCATACGACTTTATTATTAATAATATTGGGCTGGGAGTTGTGGTGGAAATGTTCAGGGATGTTCGGGGTAATGGTAATGGGTGTCCATGGGAGGAAGCTTGGACTCGGATTTGGACTGGACTCAAGACTCACGAACTTTCTATCGTTTCTGCTTGGTTATCTCGGTCTGATATTCAGTTTATGATGCATGTATCGACTTCTTGACAGCACGTACTTGCAATGTACAGTCTTTTTGGTTCCTGGATGCTATAATGCCCACGGTCGCTCAATAAGCATATTTTTGTGCAATTTAGCTGTGCAGAAACTGCCATGTATTACTCTTACGACCCAATTTCGAGAATTTACTGAGAGTCTCCAACGAGGAGTATATATGCAAAAACCGCTTCTGCCTCACTCCGAGCAATTCAAACTATATCCCGTCAGCTGCCGCACTCGGCCAACTAAACGAACCTAAGTTATGTGCCACTGTCAATCTGCTCAACCACGTTGTCTTTGGTATAATGATCCCACGCGTTGCAGTTATTCCACACATCCCCCGGAATGTTGAATTGCTCAACCGTATCCGGCTGGACAATAAGCGTCGCTAGAAAACCACCCGACGCGTGCCATGCAATATGACAGTGGAAGGTCCATACTCCTATCATGTTGTTAGATTGCCTTCCCCAACCGCCCGCGGAGTCTGGCTGAGAACAATTAGGGGACACGTACCAGGTTCACCATCGAATTGCAGAACAAGATGGCCAAATCCGCGTACCAGGTAGACGTCCCGTCTATGGGGGTTGCTTGGCCGGACTATTGTGCCGTCCCAGTCGCCGGGGCCCTCGTGGAGGATATAGAAGTTGTGGCCGTGGAGATGCATCGGGTGGCTGTCGAGTCAGGGGTTAGTCATGGCATGCGGACCCCAGGAGCAGGAGATACCTCTGAGGTATACCTACGATGTAGGAGAGTTGTTTTTCACGACAATTCGGACGGACTTGTTTTGGTAGTAATTCACGACGTTCCATTCTTCAGGGTAGTCATATTCTCCTTGGTTGGCGAGCAGCAACACCGGCTTGTTGTAATGCGTCCGCATTGATACATCATTGAACTTCCACAGCCAAATCTTGGACTCATTTTTGAAGATCTCGATCTCCATCGTCTCTGTGAAGGTCGGCTCAGGCAGCGGAATTGGGTACAGTGGCTCGGTAATATCCAGCGGCAGATTAGCACACACATCAGGATTCGGTATCTCCCACGGCTTGCTATTCGGCATCGCGTTCTCGTCCGCTTCGTCATATAACACAACAGCCACAGCGTTCGGCTGCCTGGCCGGCGAGCACGTCGTGAGGCTGGAGCGCATCCAGAACGCAGACTTGGGCCCCCCCGCATTGGCAGTCACCAAAACATCAGCACGCTGGCCAACACCCAGCACCACCACTGTCGTGTTGTACGGCTTGACCGGCACAAAGTCCTCGGCGATGACGGTTAGGACGTGCTCGTCGATAGAGAAGCGCTGGATACCATCGCCACCTAGATTGATGAGGCGCAAGCGGTGGACCTGGCCGGTCTGGAAGCGGAATTTGGATATGCCTGCGTTTGGTGTGCATTGGTGCGGATCGTCTTCGGGGTCAGTCGAGCAGTTGAAGTCCATCTTGCCATTGATCAGGTTGTTATCGGAATAAACTCGGGGGGGACTTTCGCTGGGGCTGAGCATGGTCTTGATGATATCGTAATATTCTTGGTGATACCAATCTGCGGAATTTATGAGCGATTGACATCTAATTACCAGTCTTCTCCCGGTCGGATAGAGCTTACCACCCAGCATGACAGGACCAACATCGATATCATAGTCTTCTCTGGTTGGTCCGTGGATAACAATAGGCCCAACAATGCCACCAGCATATTGGGCTGAGTAATGGGCATGATACCAGGTTGTACCGTACAAACTGGCACTGAACTCGTAGGTGTAGGTTTTCCCCGGGGGGATGGGACATTGGGTGATGCCAGGAGCGCCATCTTCCCAGGGAGTGTCATGCTGGAGGAAGCCATGCCAGTGGACTGAGGTGCCTTCTTCGGGGTTTGAAATATTGTTGAAGACTTTCACAATGATGGTGTCTCCCCAATTTGCTTCAATAAGTGGTCCCGGAAAGGCACCGTTCACAAGGAGCACCTCGCGTTCGTAGCCATCTGGAGCAATGACACCCCGGCTGATGGTGAACTCGTAGGATCTAGTAACGCCGGTATGTGGGCATTCACGATACGGATTGTTGCCGTAGTCTGTCAAGTTACCCCATGGATATCCATCAGGCAGCGGGTTATCTGTCAAAAAGGGAGCCAAGGAGGAGGCAAGCAAGGTTCCCCACACTGAGAATCTACATAGCTGAGTTAGGGTCGATATATCCAAGGTGAGTAGTCCTGTCACTGACGTACCCATTGGTTTTCAACTGTGATAGGGCGGAGGTGATATTATCTACCACGGTATTGAGAGCCTGCTCTACCACAGACGCAATGTTGTCCAAATCCTCCAAAAGGGCTTCCATGATGGCTAGGAAGGGGCGGCAAATGGTCCTTCACCACAAGCTAGCACTCTGCTAGCCAGAATTGATAATAGAAGGAATAGAAACTGTGACGGGGGATGAAGACCATGGAATCGAGAGATATGGAATAGATATGGTGGTCCTGATGTGATAGCATATGAAACTTTAGAGGGCCCTGGAGAAGACAGGAAAAGACAGAAAGAGATAACATACCTATTGGCGGATGAAGCTCTCTGAATACCCGAAAATCTCATCCTTGTCACGCCACACGTAGTGCAAGGCACACGGCAGCAAGATGACAGTGTCTAAGGATGGTTGCCGGTGGCTGCTGAGCGTTAATGTTGTCTCGACAGATGATCGCCGGTCAGTATTTCCATCTTGGCAGTTTCCCGGCTCTCAATAGGGTTCTTTGCCAGGGTTGTCGGGATTGCGTAGCACGGGAGGAAAGAAAGACGAAAAATATTATGACGGCTCAAAGAGTTGGTGCCAGTGTCGTCTCCGGAAGCGGAACCAACACAGTTGAGACAACCTGTATAGAGATTCCCGGCGTGTATATGTGTAACTTGGGCGTTTTTGGTAGTGTCAGCCGGGGAAGAACTCGGTATCCGGTGATTTTGTTTGAGCTTTGTAACCAACGAGCGTCTCTTGAGGCCGCAGAACAATGATGACAAGCCCGAGCGCCCAAGATGATCGACAATGACAATCATGAGGTGAGCCAACACAACGACTCGGAGAGAGCAGACGAAGTTGAGAACGGAGATGAGATTGTTTAGAGAGTACAGCGTCTTTCCGGTGCACTGCACAAAGGGCTCTCAGCTGATTCGTAGAGCTGAAGTTTCTGCAAGAAGACAATCACTTGGCTTCATTGTTGGTGCGAGGGCAGAAGCAGCCGGTTTCCGACTACCGGCCGAGAGGGATGTTGCGTAAACACGAGAAAAGAATAGCTGAACTGCCAAAGATAGGTAGCTAGAAGACAGTTATAGTATAGTGTAGATGCGAGAAGTTGTGATCGCAACCTTTTTGCACTTGTTGCCAGCAAACTGGTCTGCCGGTTGGTACTGCATGCAACCAACCTTGAGTTGCACTCCTTGCCAGCCACGAGGAGCAGCTGTCGTGTAAACCTTGTGGGATATGCGGTATGGGACAAGTGACAGAAAAGGTAGCTGGCGTTTTCCAATCAGTTGGCTCTCACAACAACACAACGAGGAACTATTCGTCATCGTCCAAGGAGGGCCTTGTTCTCGGCGATAAAGGGGAGCTGGCACCGCATATAGCAGGGTTTTGAACCGCGAACGTATCAGAACCTTCGATCCGGTGTTCCATTGGGACCCTCGAGGACAAGACATAGCATTGGATGACGAGGATGAAGAACACAGGCATTTGCTTAAGAGATAGATGTATGTCACGGAAGCATGCCATGGATCGGCCCGCCCCTTGTCCCATAGCCAAAAGGTTGCTGGATGCTCACAGCCACTCGACGAGCTGGTGGCTGTCAAAGGAGACGCAAGCCCGAGTTGTGATCAGCCTTGATAAGCACGGCTGGCAGTTCTTTTGCTTGGCGTCTCGGAGACTCTGGCACTTGGAATGCAAGAAGCCGGTGAACGAAAAAAAAAAAGGGGGGGGGGGTCCCGGCACGTCGAGGACCAGCCTTGCTCTTGGTGATAGAACAAGGCTGGCTGCTCAACGTGAGCTCTGTTGAGACCCCCGCCTTTGGATTTCCTGACCAAAGTCTCGTATATGCTGTCATCGGAGCCCGGCATAGTGTCCAGGGAACATTGCTCTTCCTCGTCAACATGGTTCTTCTGCAAGATGAGAGTGGTCATCCGCACCCAGCCCAAACCCTTCCGCCTGGCCAGAAGAGGGATGATCCTGATGCACGCAATTTCGTACTGTGGCCCCCAATTGCCCGACAGATTATGCCGTGCTACACAGACCTTCCATCGACGAGTTGCACCGGCCGCGGCCAGTCCGACAGCCTTTCGTAATCCCGCCCGGAGAGCGCAAATTATATTGATACCATGCCATATGTTTCCGGCAGCCATAAAGAGACAACTCCAGTTGCCTAGTCCTAGGAGATTGGAAAGGCATGAAGTGACCTACTTGGTTGTGATTATTACAAGCAGGCTTGACTGTATATCGTGTAAGCCGCGTTTGCAGCCAGAAGATTGTCTCATCTTCTGGCTATGTAACGATAACATGAGAAGTGATGAATAATTCATAAGAGGTATATATCAACACACATACGACAGAAGAGTGTTTTTAAATCCCCCCTAAACGCCGTCCCATTTTTCGCTCTGAACGCGAACCATATGTACAATAAACAACATATCATTACAAGTCCTTCCGTAACACCACCCATCGTCGGGACGCCGGGAGATGCGGCAACCTGGTCAAATACATGCCGACTAGTGCCGACTTCGCACGCTTAGTTGTCGCTCAGGCGCCTGTTGAGCTGGTAGGGACGGTAGGCTTGGGCAGCCATGATAATGGGCCTCCTCTGGGCACGGAAGTAGGCCTCCTGAAGGATCGGGGAGGAGCAATCCGACCGGATCACGCTGCCGATCGACATGAAGAAGCTGACAGGCCGAGGTCAGAATCTGGCACGAGCCGGGGAGCAAAGACTTAGAGAAAGCGGAGGGCAAGGTCTTACCCAAAGGTTGCTCCGGAACCCAGCATATACTGGCCCAGCGTCCTCATGATGCCATTAGGACCGGGGCCATATCTGAAGATGTTGACCGTTCCTATGAGCTCGAGTCAGACTTTCTTGCTCATGCTCTTGCTCTTCCCTCTCAGCTCAGGTTTGCCATACCAAAGATGAAGCCGATGATCAGACCAACGGCTACAACGCACCAGACGTCAGCTTCTCTGCGAAACCCTGCAGAAGGGCGATGTGTCGATGCGTAAAGGGTCCACTTACTGCCGCCCATCATAGCACCCATCTTCACTATTTTCAAGGTTAGTTACCCCTCATTTTTTTTTCCCAGTTTTCTTCATATTTCAGGGCAGCAAAACGTACGCTTGTCGAAGGTTGACGGGCCATGGACACCACCGGGATGGCTCGGAGGGGGAGGCATTATGCTTGAGGCCGAGCGATTGATCAATCGGACACGCAGCGGAGGGAAACGGTTTGCTCGTGCTGGTTTTGGGACGGGTTGTCTACGATGATGGAATGATGCAACTCCCGTCCCGCACTCACGGTCCAGCGCATGGAACTTGCCGCGGGCCGGTCCAACTCACTGCCCTGGACGAAAGAAATGCCGCACGGACCACAAAAAGCTCGGACCACATCTTCCCTCTCGGGCCCTGATGAACCCAACTGGCAACCGTGTGTGTGAGCGATGAGGGGCCTTGAGAGCCTTTTGATTTCCTTCCTGCCCTCTCTGCTCAAGCCAAGAGAAAGCACGTGGCTTTTTGCAGCTCTGGAGGCCCAATGCTCCCAAAACGTTTCATTACTTTCAGCTGACTCTCATGATGCTCACCTGCCACGGCCTGAAGCCTGAAGCTTGTGCGATGGTTGGTCCCTTGTGCCATGTGCCTGTGCCGCTTGCAGCATCTTGTGACACTTGGTGACCAAGACTCATCAAGCACAGCCGAGCGAAAAAAAATTTTTTTGTGCTTATCAGTTTCTTCTATACTGTATACGTTTCTAAATAAGCAAACGAATCATTCCTACAAACATGCCTTCTTTTCTGTATGAATTGGGCTCACCTCGGGAGCAGGCTTCAAATACCACCATCGATTATTGGGTCACGTGACCGCATCTTGTGTCTGGGTCTGAACGTGGGGGTGCTGCATAGAAAAGTGTTGTCGATGAGGGTGCCCCAAAACATCTGCCCCAAATGCTTGGGCAAAGGAATGAAGTGTCAAAAACATTTTGTATATAGATGACACGTTGGGCTTCTGTGTCTCGCGTTGCTTGCATTCCATGAATGACGGGCATCCAGCACCATCTGCTGAGGCTGTCCCAAAGCCATGATTGGGCCTGCAAACAGGAGTCAAGAATCAAAAGAAAGCGAACTGTAGGCTGAAAACAGGGGCACTGCTCAAGAGGAGCAGGGATGCCCGCCTGCTGGCGCGCAGACCACAATCTGGCCCTATCCTCCTTGTTCTCCCCTCCAATCGTGGAGCGCAGGCCTGCTCGCAGTCTTCCCACTGAACAGCAATCAGCAAAGGCCAGGGCTCCCGCTAAGCGCCCCCGATGGCCGCCGCCGCCCCAGCCAAGGCCAACTTCTGCTCATCAAAATTCAACGACTTCAACAACTCGACGATCTCCCCAGCATTATTGCAGACGCTGATCCAGACCGAGCCTGCCAACACACGATCGCAAGATCGTGAGAGAAAACAGGGTTCTTGATTTCTGCAAGGTGCGTGCGATTGCAAGCCTGCCTCTTCGCCGTTTTTACTGGTGTCCTTCGCGCTGTTCGCGGCCCCCCTCCGGTCGCAGACTGCACACTCGCAGTCCACGGTCCACGGTCGCTCGATCCTTTGCTCCCTCATCCATTCATCCAATCTACTGTATCTCCGCATCTGCCAGCGGACAGCCTAGCGAGCGTGGAGCGACCTAAGCCTGCTGCTGTGGCCGTGGAAAGCTCACTTGCCCACAGCACCATGCCCATCACCCGTGACCAGCAGTACAACAGACCAGTTGTCTACCACTTTTTAGCAAACCCCCAACCAAGCCCCGTACTATTGCTAATCTTGCCTTCTCCACACCAGCTCATCGCGACCAGCGTCACGGGTCCTTTCGCCTTTTTGCTGCATGCCGTTGAGCGATAGCCCCACCTCCACAGAGCAATTATTATATTGCTCTAGCAGACGAGCGCCTCGCTGAGAACTGGACACCGGACACGCGTGCCATCTCTCCGTGTCATCAACGGGGAGCAGCACTCGAGCGCCGCATCCCGTTCCCCGTTCCCATTCCCCCGTTGGCTTCCCTGAATCGCCACCGGCTGCGAGCCGTCCTCGCTCCATATGACTGCTGTTGCCAATCCGCCGAGTTTCTCGAACCTCAATCGCCCGGGATGGATTAATGGGGGGCAGTCGCTGGGCCCAGTCAACGCTGACGACGCCAGGGGAATCAACATGTTCGCGCCTACTCGCAAGACCCTCCAGCGCTCCAACTCGTCGTCTTCCGTATCCTCGACTTCCTCGACCTCGTCTGCCTCGTCCGTTACCACCGTCACCTCCAATGCCAGCTCGCAGCTGAGCTCCGTGCCAACCATGCCCACCACAGGGGATGCGAATCAGTGGAATCGCAAGCGACCGCTCAAGCAAGGGCCATGGACCAACGGGAAAACCGATGGCGCGGTCGACTTCCCGCGGGCCACGGCTGGGCGGGTGCCCCAGATGCCAAATGGCCTGACCAACGGCGGCGCCGTGATGCACAATAGCCAGCAGTCCCTGGTGTCGACGACAAACAACAGCCATATACCCCCCAATGGCCAGGCCATACAGCAAGGCCAAACCATCGTGACTCGGCAGCCCATGCTCTGGCTGGTTTCACTTAACAGCAGCTTCGAGCGCAAGACCATCACCGTGCCCTTTTTTCCCGAGACGCTCCGCATAGGGCGTCAGACGAACGCGAAGACAGTCCCAACCCCGCAGAATGGCTACTTCGACAGCAAGGTGTTATCACGCCAGCATGCCGAGATTTGGGCCGATGCCAACGGCAAGATCTGGATCCGCGACATCAAGTCGTCGAATGGAACTTTCGTCAATGGTACCCGGCTAGCGCCCGAAAACCGCGAGTCGGAGCCGTGCGAACTGCATGTACACGACCATTTGGAGCTCGGTATTGACATTGTCAGCGAGGACCAGAAGACGGTTGTGCACCACAAGGTTGCGGCTCGGGTTGAGCATGCTGGCTTCGTCACGACGACAACAAACATCGCTGACGGTGGAACCTACGTCGACCTTGAAACTCCGAATGGAACCAACAGCACCGGCATGATGCTCCCTCAGCCGGGACCGACCCCGGGAAGAGGACGAGCCGGCAGTCAACCGGGGGCTGCAGGGACTAACCGATTGCAGCAAGGGAACAATAATGGAGGGGCACCAGTGAACGCATTGGCACAACAGCGTCAATACTGGCTTACTCCGGTAACCACAGATCATATTGTCAAGAAGCTGCAGGCTGAAATGCGCAATGCCCGGTTACAGAACCAAGATCTAGCTCGGACGAGCCAGTTTTTGAAAACTCTCTTGTCCAAAGACGATATCAGAAACGGGAATAAACCAGAAGTTTCCGAAGCACCTAAGCATCCCCTTGTCAATGGGAACATTTCTCTCCTGTCAGACGGCGGCAAGACTCGTTTCTCCGATCCTCCCGCCCCTCCACCTTCGCAACCTCTTCCCGAAAAGCCAGATGCTGTCCGGTCTTCTTCAGCAGACGGTCAGCCGACTAGGAAAGGAACGAACGAGCGGTCTAAGCAAATCTCGACTTCATCCCCGGGTCGCCAGGATAATAAGAATCTTGAGCGAATATTGCAGTTGACCGAGGAGCTAAGCAAGGCTAAGCAGGAGTTGGATAGCCACTCGGCCAAGATCCACGACCTTGAGGAGATGCTCAGCAAGGAGCGCGAGGCCCGACTGCACGCCGAGGATATGGTGCACAAGCTTGAAGAGAGCCGCAGCGCGAAATTGAACGGCTCTACTGAGGCGCCTCTACCCGACGGCCATTCGGAACTTGATAGCGCTTTCGAACCTCCCATCGAACAATCCGCTAGCTCCGAGGCTGAATCAGTCCCTGCACTCGCTCCTGCGCCAGTAGAGACTCCTGCCCCTCCACAGCCCGATACCAAGGCTGAAGAGGTGATAGCCGCATTCCAAGCCCGCATCGATGCCATGACGGCGGAGATGAACAGCCTGCGGGAACAACTAGATGCATTCAGACTGCGCGCCGAAAGGGCCGAAGCCGAACGCGATGCCGACCGCAAGACCCTCGCCGAGCTAGTGTTACAGATTCGGCAACGCGATGAAGAGGCTAGGCGGGTTGCCGAGCGCAGAGCACGGTCTCTGGAGAGGAGCAGGCGGCGGTCACCAAGCCCAGCGGCAATCGATGAAGAAAAGGCTGTCAATGAAATTAGTGCCAATGGCGCAGCTAAAGCGCCTAATTTTGGAGCCTCTTTGACAGATGAAAAGGAAGTTGATTCCCTGGAGTCATTGAACGGTTCACTTGCCCCGTCCCACGGAACGACCCTCAAGCCCTCAAGCTCTGCCCTGAAGACAGACGGAACTGCCGCCGCCGCCGCTGCTGCTGTGGCAGAGGCGGTAACGGAAGCGCAAGCAGCGCTTGAGGCTACTCTCTCACCGGCTGCGAATGCTGCTCAGCGGCAACAAGATGCCCAGCAAGCGCAGCAACAACAGCTGCAGCAGAAGCAGAAGAAGGACCACGGTCCGCTCCTGCAGTCACTGCCGTACGCGTCCATGATTGGCGTTGTGCTGTTTGGCATGGGCATCATGGCGTACTTGAATGGATGGCAGCCAAGCAGCGCGAGGCTGGATCGCTAAGATTTTACATGTAAGAGTGGGTTTTATAGAGGGACGGGTCGGTTACAGGACTACTAATTAGGAGTGGGCTAAGGGTTGGTTGCTCGGGAGTTTGTAGGATTGGGTGTTGTGCCGCTGTATAAGGCGATCTTTTTTTTTTTTTTCACAATTCCCCCGTTATACTGGACATGACACGCGATGAGAGAAACGGGCCGCTGCAGGGTAATTCTTTTAACTGCCCCTCTTTTAACATCCCACTTTTGTCTTTGTTCTCATCTTTTTGCTTGGGCCTTGAGTTCTGTGCAGCGCTGGGACAACGATGCTATCATAAAAGATGCGTAAAAACTTCTCTGCAGTATTGAACAATGTTTTCAACTTCGTTCAACAACCATGACCTACTAACAAAAATAACACATACCACAACCTCACTGTCAGAAACAAAGGGGGTGCTACCCCTTTTCATTTGTCAACTCCTTTTCTTTATCATTGTGCTTTGGGCTGGTTGAGGAAGGAAGGGGTTAGGAGTATTTTTGGGTCTGTTGCTTTGTGTTCTTTTTGTGTGACTGTCTTCTGTTAATCGTTATAAGAAGCTTTAACCAGTAAGCAGCATACACAGCAACAATGCTCTTTTGTTTTATTACCTGTCCTCTTCCCCATTTTGTTTCTCCTTCTCTGTCTTCTTTGCCATTAAACAAGTCAGAAGACAAAATGGTGGGCGGTTAGCTGGCTGGCTGGCTGGCGGCAGGGGTGATTTATCCAACCTGCATGGCTTGCTTGTTTAGAGCGATGACTGATTACCGTGTCTGGGGAAGTTGTCTTTTTGTGTGTGATGATACTCCTGCTGTGCTGGTTTTGCATGAGTCTGTCAGGAAAAGCAAGCAGGCGCTGGTTTCATTCTAACTTTCTCTTCATCAAGTGGTATCTCGTTGCCGCAAATATAGGTATATAAGGCTAGCAAGTAGCTGTTAGGGAGCAAAAGACCAATTTGCCAACAGCCTACCGATACTATCCACGGTTCCATATTCTGATGCGATCTTGTCCCCGTGTTCTTCTGACATAGAAGACGGAGTATAGCAGAGATTGCCTACAGTGCTAAGTCAAGGCTGGCAATCACCCTTGAAATCCTAGAGTACAAGGTGCAACAAAAGTCAAGTCACTTCTGAAAATGATAAGTGTTCGTTACGCCTTTTTTTTCTTATGTATAACATCTTATGTCTTTGTGCAGCCATGAAAAACTCTAGTGCCACTTGATCAGAGCTGTTAGTGATTGCAGATAACTTCCCCATGTGCGCTAACAGACATTGCCAAGAACCCTCCACACCTGTGGGCCGAGGATCGATTCCCGCTCAGAGTCACCAAGTGGCGCCTCACAAATCTTTTGCCAGAGGATCAAACTTTGGTGATTCCAGAACTGGCCACAGAGGCCCCATCCAACATCAAATACACCCCAGGCAGTTGACTTTTTGCCTTTTAAACACACATTTTGGGCCTTAAGGCTACGTTGGGAGCAGCAAAGGCAATCAAGCGTCGATCTCCCATGTCTTAAGGGTCAGACGTTTGATTGCGGGGCAACCAACTTTCACACTTGCACATTCACCCAACCACTCCAACGACTCATTACTCACACACACTCATACTCAATATATCTTCCATCACCCTTCTCTTCCTGAGGTAAACAACAGGGCGACGCTACAGGCCGCTCGCCCACGTCCAAAAATAGGCCGTCACAACAAATCAGCATCTCATCCCCACTCCAAGGGGGGGTTTCTCAAGGACGACTTTGTGGACGATATCATTGTCGCTCTCAACGATTTCAGCCTCCAGGGCAAACAACCCAGATCATCCAGCGTGAAAAAGAATAATAACAAAAAGCCTAGGCGTGGGGGTAACCGGCGTGGCAAGATGGGCCAGGCACCGTCCTTCGCAATAGACCCTGACACTCCTCCCCTCACTCTCAAAGAGCGCAGTCTCAATGCTGTTGCTGAGTTTATCAAGTCAGGGCGTGCCCGACGCATTGTTGTCATGACAGGTGCTGGAATCTCCACAGCCGCAGGAAGTGTGTTTTTCCTCTCATCTATTCAGGTTCACGATCAATATGCTAACATGCCGCCAGTTCCTGATTTTCGATCCCCAGACACAGGCCTCTACTCAAACCTCATGGACCTCGATCTCCCCGAGCCGGAGGCAATCTTCGACATAGAGTACTTCCGCACTAACCCCAAACCCTTCTATGTCTTGGCCAAAGAGCTCTACCCAGGCCGCTACCACCCGACCATCTCACACGTTTTCATCTCCCTTCTTGGACGCAAGGGCCTGTTGCACATGCTTTTCACACAGAACATAGACTGTCTCGAGCGCGCGGCCGGAATCCCTCCTGAGCTGATTGTTGAAGCCCATGGGAGCTTCGCCACCCAGCGTTGTATAGTCTGCAAGGCTCCGTTTGATGACGTGAAAATGAAGGAGTTCGTCTCCCAGGCCAAGGTGCCCCATTGTGAAGAGGAGGGCTGCAATGGCTTGGTCAAGCCAGACATCACCTTCTTTGGCGAGGCGTTACCTCGGAAATTCTACGAAAATATTGATTATGCGCGGACAGCCGACCTGGTAATCGTCATGGGTACGAGTCTGCTAGTGCAGCCATTTGCCAGCCTGCCAAATTATCCACCAGATCATGACCGCGGGTATTGATCAACCGCGAACAAGTGGGCAACTTTGGCTCGCGCGCGGACGATGTCATGCTGTTGATGGATTGTGATAAGGGTGTGAGGGATCTGGCTAATGCGCTGGGGGTGGAAGGATGAACTGGAAGAGATGTGGAAAGGGATTGTGGGTGAGAAGGAGGCAGAGAGACAGATTCAAGGATCGGGGAATATGGCGAAGACACTACAGAATGAGGTGAACAAGTTGGCGGAGGTGATGGATGAAGCGCTGACTTTGGATGGGCAGAAGAAGGGAAAAGAGGGGGAAGAGGGAAAGGCAAAAGTGTCTATGGGGGGAAGTCTCAAAGACTGAAGATAAGGAACAGAAGGATGAGACTGGGCAAAAAAGGAACTTTTCAGGAAGGGGACATGCAGTCGGCTGCTCAAGGGCAGGCTGACAGAAGGGAGTCTGATGGCAAAGAAAAATTGTAGGGGAATACAGGTGTTATTGGGCTATCTGGGTATGTAATACGGCGTTCCAGCTGGGATGGTTGTAATATAATAATGTAGGTATGCAACATTTGTCAACACATTTCACGGGATAAATTTTAAGAAACCAAATTTCAGAGCGTCTTTGTACTGCGGCTTATTAAGGTGAATGTTTGCCCAAATTGACTTGTCCAAAGGCGTTTCAGGGACATAACATGCGTAACATTGGGATATGGAAGATAAAGTTCCGTAGCTGTCTTTATTTTATTGAAGTGTCTCTGGACATTGGTTTGAATCTGCGAAGTCCTACCTCGGGAAGCGCAAGTCCTGTGAGACCTGAGCTGTTTTGACTGCAAGAACACAGAACACCCCGGCAATTGTTTGAGCAAACAATTTCAAGGATCGAGAAAACAACGCCAATTGAGATTAGGTTTATTGTAGCTCTAGTTTTCACTCCAGCTGTCTTCAACTATCTGCCTTCAATCGAGATCGAATGGGTCAATGCCAAAGTTTTCCTGTCAAAAGCCCTCCAAACTCCAGCCTCGAGCTACTGTCATCAATAGTGATTCAGTGCATTGCAGCCAAAAAGTCTAACAAAGGGCCGCTGGTCTAGTGGTATGATTCTCGCTTAGGGCTCTAACCCGAAGCAATTGCTTGCGAGAGGTCCCGGGTTCGATCCCCGGGTGGCCCCAACCCATACAGCCTGCTCTTTTGCTGCCGGTTCTCTTCATTGTGTCCAATGAAATTGGCTTCGGTTTTTTTTTCGCTCTTTCATTTTCAAAATTTAGTGTTAGAATACTTACACAGAAGATATCAGGTGTTCCATGAACAAAGAAAACGCCGTCGTTGCGTCAGGACTATATGCTTCTGCTCTCATCAGACTTACCATTCAACTCTGCAACCGGAACGATACTCCCCTAGGGCGCAGAGCGGAGCCCCACCGATATGGATTAATGCTCGAACAAGTTAGCTAACTCCACGTCCACATCCTAATCAGTAGAATCCCCTTGTGGTGTAGTTGGCTATCACGTTCGGCTGTAATGGATATTATGAAACCGAAAGGTCACCGGCTCGATTCCGGTCGAGGGGACTTCAAATACTCTTATTTTTTTGCTCTTTTTCTCTTGAAGAATCGCAGTTTTCCCAAGTTGTCTTGCGAAGTTGCGATGCTTCACGAAACGTGTTCTCGAACTCCTACTGTCAACTTTTCCTCCTGCCTACAGTCGAAACCACAATTTTCTTTTTTTATTCAAAATAGAGTCCTCTTTTTTAATGATCAGGCCAGGGTATGTTTTGATCTGTATGTACAGCATGCATCATCTAAAGCAGAATGTGTCCAACAAATCACATCATTGTTAGTTATGCCAAACAACTTCCCAGACGATTCAGATTCCTATGATCCTTCGACGAAACATTGTTTACAAGACATAGAACGAAAAGTAAACCAACAAGACGCACCCAGCTGGCACTGTCAGGAGTATCGATCGTACCGCCAATCCGCGAACCTTTTTTGTCGGACCCAGTCCAGTTCCTCGGATGAGCAAACCAAGAGTTGTCTAGATGAATACACGCCCATTCAGACCGTGTTCTAATCAGAAGCGCCGTGATGTGGCAAGGCCTAGTCTATAGTGGGCTCTCTCGGACCAAGGAGACGATGATAACATCACAGAAGTAACTTTAAGCGCCTATTGCTGACCAGTCAGTCTCCTCAGCAGATCAAGGAGCTCTCCGCATAGTGTGCCAGCGCCGCACGTGCCGTTGAACAGGTCGGCAATAATGTTACCGGCACCAGTCCCGGTTCCAGCGCCAGCACCAGCATCAATAGCGGGTTGAGTCGTGGAGCCCGTACCTGAACCGGCGCCGGCGGTGGCAGACTCGGGTACGAAGATGGCCCACTCGCCAACCATGTTGGACACGGTCAGCGTCAGTTCGTTCTCGTCGGCCTCGAACTCGAGCTCGCCCTCGCCGAAGACGAAAGCGTTGGCCTCGTTGCAGAAGCGCGCGATGCGGCCTTGCGAGATGTCGATTGTGCCTGAACAGAAGCTGTTAGCAGAGATGAGACGCCAAACAGGCTAAAGCACATGTCAGCGTACTGTTGGCATTGCGGATGTAATCAATCTTCTGTAACGTCAGGTTGCGCGCCGAACCGCCACGGAGCCGCACGCGGTAGGAGACGGGCTCGAGAGCGACGAAGCCCTGCGGGGGAGGAGCCGGGTTGCGATTCTCAGTGACGACCAGTGTGCGGGCCTGGTTGTTCTGGAACTCGACCTCCAAGACGCCGTTGACCTTTTCGGAGTGTTAACTTGTTCCAACTCTTGTAACTGTGGGATTGTCATTTGTTACTTACACCCGCGGGGAATAACGTGTCGATCTTAACGTTGCCGCCGCGCAGGCGAATGGCCCGGCCAAACTGGCCCTGTTGCTCAACCTCATTTTCGTTTTTATCTTCGCCCTCTTCGTTGCCGGTGCCAACAGTGGTGGTGGGTTGTGCAGACGAGGTTGTCGTCGTGGCGGTATTATCTGCCGTGGTGGTAGCAGCGGCGGTGGTTGTGGCAACATCAGTGGTTGTGGAGAGATCCGTCGGTGTGATAGCGGCCGAAGTGGTCGCGGTGAAGGTTGCTGAGCTTGTAGCCTGAGCAGCGGCATCGGAGCGCTCAGCGGCTGGAGCAGCGAGGGCCATCAGGGCTTGGGCGGCGATAAGGAGGGTAGACGACAGCTTCATTTTGGCTGGTCTTTCGTCTAGCTAGGTTTGTCTGACAGGAATAGAGACTGACTGTTCGAAAAGGGAAAGCAGATGGTGTAAGAAGAACGACCTAGGCGCGTCTCAACGAAAGAAAAAGGAGCGAAACAAAATGAAAGGGAAAGCACAAAAGGCTAGACCAGCAGCCCAAGACAAACGAAGTTGGAGGAGAATGAAGAATGTCAGATCACGATGTATGGCATTGATAAACTACTTATAGTTTACGTATACACAGTCATATCTATGTAGCATTCTGCCTGCTTGACACGCTCCAGCCCTACTGAAGGGCGAAAGACATGCCGGATTGGGATCGTTTGCTAGCTGAGACCAGGCTGGAACTACGCAGCCACCCCAAGTAATTGGAAAGGTTCAAGGGGTTTCTCTCGATAGAGAGGTTGAGGAACTAGTGATGTTTCGTTTCTCTGGGCCTCTGGCGGTCATGGGGGAAGAAGCAGCCGTTCTTGTGGACTTTCTTATCAAAGAAGCGCCGTTAGCTGCCACAAGGAGACTTCTGTACCTACACAGAACTTCTAGATTGTGTAGCCAGGTTCCTATTTCGGTTTCTGGTCCGACTGGTTATACACAATGCAGTTCCAGGGCAAAGACTAGCCTAGGCTTGTCTCCACCCGGATAAAGTTGAAACAGTTTGGAGTGGAGATTGTCTCCGTGACGTTGCTGATGACCTGCCTATCAACATCCGCTGTGGTGTTGTTGTCAAGTATCGTGATACTCTGGTGTGGATGAACTTAGCACATAGTCTCAAGTGGGCAAATTCAAACGATGTCTGAACTTTTGGGAGGGTGGTGGATGTGACGGATAGATGGGAGTTCGAGGATTTAGGGATAATGTGGATGGCATGTTTGTCTTTCTGGATCTCCATGCTGCAGGTTAAGGTTATCTTGGCTCGCAGATGAACATTCAGCATGGAGCTCGGTCGCTTATTCAGGCCGATGGCAATTGTGGTGATGGTGATACACTGATATTGCTGAAGGTTTGTGATGGCTGGTGTTTATAGCAACAAGGTCACGACGTTGGACGAAAGCTTGGCAGTCATCTACCCAAGATTCAAAAGACCAAGACGGACACCAAACATTGCTTGCTGCCTTGTGAAACTCGACCTGAATTTCCTCTCGACTTCGGTCACTTTGACAATCGATCACAGCAAACTTTTTGACTTATTTGGAGAAACCAATTACAAATCTCCACTATGTTTGCAATTCTACTGTGATAATTGTCCAGGAACACCAAGGGCTAGTTTGTGGATGTCTATGGGTTGCAATTAGGCATGGCTCGGTAGGCCAAAGGCCTGGCCAGGCTAGTGGTCACATTCCCATGTCACTGGATTCTCGGCTTGACTTGCCAACTTTGTCTGATGGAACATTCTGCACAGTAACTAATAGGGAGCTTTCGGCTCCGGTTGCTTGACTTTCTAACCCTTGCTGGGTTTCGTTGATTATGAGATGTCTTGGCTTCTCTCATATCTCTCGTCCATCAAGATACGGGCGACAGTTCACTTGTCCATGTGTCCTTGTTTCCTTAGCAGTTCTTGTTATCTAAACTGTAACTCGAGGTTCAAACACAATAAGTATGTATTGTTGCACAGCCCTTACTACCATATGGTTGGCTTGAAGGAGTCTCTACAGGGTTTTATCAGTGGCATTCATGCACCATCGCATCAGCTTCCTCTCCAGTAAATACAAGTAGAACAATACTAAAGTATGTTAATCCACTACAAGTACATCTACTCACTCAGGAAGCTCCTCTTCTCGATCCAGCAATCAGTCGTGTGCAAGAGACACAACCCTCTAACTTGACGTCGCAGGCTGTGATGGTAACGCTGCAGGGGTTACTGTAAGAACTTTGCAAAGCCAAACACTTTGTGATCCACTGTGGCTGCGGTACTCCACGTGTGCGCCTTAACCCTTGTCCCACCCAACTTTAGGGCCACCCCCTGTTCGTTGTCCTGACAGCCGATCTAAGATTTGAATCTACGAAGGTGCTAGTCATAGTAGCATTGCCCGACTGGGCACTCTCCCGGGGTTGTGCTTGGCTGGCAATGGGGAACCGTGTTTCAAGTTCACCCTCCGACACAAGCGTGTTTAGGACTACATCTGCACCAGAGCCCCACCATGTCTCTTCACACTGTGACTGGATATTTGAGATTTGTTCTCTGGACAGTGAGGAGTGCGGACTACCAGATTGGCAAGATGTGTCGATCATGGAGGACTATGCCTGCTAAGCCTTTGATGCAAGGGGTCTGTGGGGACGCAGAGGAGGGATGAAGGTTAGCGTGGGATGTGCAGCTAGCCAAGCCATTCTGACTTATACCCAAGTCTTCCTTGGTCTTGTCGCTCCCTAGGGAGATCTTTGATCATTGCTTCTCTCCTTTCCTTTCGCTCTACCCACTTTTGTCATCTTTTCGTCTGAGAGGGCAGCTGGTCTGCAATATTGACATTTGGCTTTTGTTTACTTTATCCCACATATTCATTTATATTTGTTTCTGGGCTTGTCGGACAGGAACCGAAAAGCCAGGTTTACATAGAGGGATATCGACCAATCCGCCCTAGAATGTTGAAAACTGCCAAGTTATCATGAGAGTCACCGCTCCCTCCCTCCGCCGCCGAAACCATGCTTGGCGGCAGATGAGAGCCCTCGAGAAGCGAGGGTTCCGTGTGCGACGTCATGGAGATGAAGATCATGCCAACGACGAGGACGACGCTGACCATGACGACCATTCGGAGGATTCTGACTCAGCCAGCTCGGATGAGGAATCGGACTTTGAGGATGAACCTTCTACCACAATCATGCTTTCATCTACCTCGACCATCTTCGCGACCGTTCCAGTGAGGACGGGGTCATTGGGTGCTGTCATCCTTCCAACCATCCCAGCAGCAGCACCAACAACCCCTGGTGTGGCACTTGGCGCCGAAGAACCTAATGAGATCGGAATCGACGACCCGGAGACAGACTCCGACTCAGACGATGAAACTACAACGTTACCACCGAATATCACTCAGTCCCCTCCGCAGCCCTCATTCTTGCCTTCCCCTCCTGATGTCACGGGAAGCCCGTCAGAATCCATCAGTACGACATCACTAGCAGGTAGCGAGTCCACCTCAACGCCTGCCTTGACGGAAACACCGCCGACGGCAACGGCTAGCTCATCTTTACCTGCTGGAGGAAATATTGGTACGGGCTCAGAGGCAAGTCCCTCTCAAACCCCGGGCACTCTCCCTGGTCCCGATCTTTCAGCCGGTGTGGACGTAGGTGCCGAGGTAAAGGACGATAAGCTCAGTGGCGGTGCCGTGGCCGGGATTGTGCTTGGAGTCTTGCGTGCGTGCATCCCCTTTGTAAAGCTTTCTTCCCTGCAATCAACTTTCCTAACACATACCAGTCTCCCTCGGTCTTATCGCCGGCGCTCTCTTCTTTTGGTGCAAACGGCGCCGCGACAAAGGCTTGCCTTTCATTCCCTTTGGCTGGGGTAGTCTCGGCAGCCGTTCCTCCACTCCAGACATCACCGCTCCGTTACCTGGCAAGATCGGCGGTCCCAACCACGCCAAAACCAACACCCAGATCATGGACGAGCTCATACGCGCTGCCTATGCTTCCGAATCCGGCGGTAACGTCATAGCTGACGAAGCAGCCGGGTACTATGACTACAACGAAAAGAAACGCATGGACTCTCAGCAACCGCCGCACCTCTCGCTCAACCTGCCTACTGCCCCGCAGTCGGCGAATGACAATGGCAATCCGTTCCTGGATGAACAGACGTATATCGCCCTGGCCGGACGTCTGACTCCACAGCCTCCGCAACAGGCTAGGACTCAGTCTGTCGCGACGGAGGATAAGCCGGTGATGCAGTGGCTGGAGGAGGTCAGACCGCCGACGCAGGTCGGGATACCACCGGCTTCACCGAGCGTACCGCCTTCAGCGACACTGCCGAGGCCGGTGGCCGGGAATGGCTCTGGTGCGACGAGGATTGTGGAGCCGCCTCAACCCGCGTACTTTGGGAGATATACCATGACAACGGAGTCGTCCGGGGCGAGATGGGGATAGAATAAAGAGTCTGGTAGCTGTCTTGCATCTACAATACCGAGCGGGTGATTGTTACTTGCCTCAGGCAGTTTGGAAGTGTGTGTACCTACCTGTGTATCTCTGGCAGTTTGTTGGCGGGTGTTTGGGTGTTCGGGCTATGGTGGTAAAAACTTAAATAGCCTTAGTACTAGGGGTATATCGGTGCTAATGGGATAAACATAATATTGTGTAGTCGGCAGATTCTGGGACACTCCACCCAGCGAACAATCACATGGTGATATCTGTGTATACGGAAACATCATTCTTCAAAAGCCAGACATACATCTTTCAACTAATGATACAAAGAACTGATCTTTACATATCAAGGTTATGCTGGCCAGATCGGTGTTGTTTGTGACCAAGCTGACTCCTCGAATCATTTCGTACGTTTTCTCCCGCCCTGCTGCGTCCCCACGCTCTTACCCGCGCTTGCGGGAGTCTTCTCCAGACCCATTCCTTTTTCATGCTCTGGCATTGGTGCGGCCTTGTCAGCGCGAGCGACGCGAGTCGACTGCAAGGGGTTTTTGACATCTGTTAGTCCATCCTCACAATTGCTCGACTTAAAAATATCGGGGAAAAAAAATATAAGATAGCAGACCTCAGGTACACCGGCTCCGTGGATAATATTGTGGGTTAACTCCATAGCGTTGTCAGATTTGGGATTGCCTTCTGAGCGGGGCATCTTGATTTGGTTGATTCTTTATTGAGGAACAATCTGTTAGGTAAAGTATATGGACGTGACGTGTAAATTTTAAATTACTCCTCTCTCTCAAAGTCTCAATCAGGTTGTGTAGCGCAATCTCTCCAGAGGAGAAGCTGTAAGGGCGCAGTTCGGGTATATCGCTGGGATTAATTCTCCTAACAATACTTCGATCTGACGTCACCTATACTTCCCATTTTCCTTTCAAGGTCGTCTTGCCCAACGTCATATAAAGTTCCAGCGCTGGTCGAGGCTCTCGGAGGTTGGTGACACGAACCCTGTGCGGGGGCGGGGCTGCTACAGGCATCCTAGCCTCTACCACGGTGCCTATCCAATTTACGTGCGTATAGGGCCCACGGGCACACTTCAGCGCCAAGATGCAAGTGTCAGCTCCCTTCTGTCAACTCAGCGGCCGCCTCAACGCACGCAACCACTTTCGCCCAAAGCAGCTTTGCCCTTCACAATCGACAATGCGAAAAGTCTGCTCCTTCGCCTTTTGTCTCGATGCCAAACCTATTTTCCATACTCTACCAGACCAGCAAATCCATTTTCCTCCACCATAACGCCGCATCATCGCTCCTTTCGCAACTTTCTCCCACCTCCTCGATCCTCAGCCGCAAAATGTCCACCATCACGTTCTCCCATCCCACCTACAAAGTCCCCATTACCTTGCCATCGGGCCTCTCCCAAGAGCAGCTGTTAGCGTTCCACCCATTCTCTGTAAGCCTTCTCATCCTCTCCCCCATACATAGCCTAATTCACGGCAATTGCTAACACACCTTGACCTGACAGTCATGGCTCTCAACATTGCAAGCCTCACTCTCCGCGCAGCACACCGACCCCACACATCCCTTCCACGCTGCTCCGTACACTCTCAACTCCATTACTGTGCAATCTTATGACTTGTTCCGTCATCCTGTCCCACGCCTCGGTTTTGTGAAGCTCACAGCGTCCATTACCAACAGAAACAGGGAATCCCTGCCGGGGGCCGTGTTCCTCAGGGGGCCGTCGGTCGCAGTGCTGGTTATTTTGGTCCCGGAGGATGTGGGTTCTGTAAAAGATGAAGAGAAGGAGAGATGGGTCATCCTAACGGTGCAACCGCGCCCTGCGTCGGGGAGTCTTGGGTTTGTGGAACTCCCCGCAGGCATGGTAGACGATGAGACGGGGGACTTCGCTGGTGCCGCGGCGAGGGAAATGGAAGAAGAGTTGGAGATGAAGATCCGGAAGGGAGATTTGGTTTGTCTGAGTGAGCTCGCGGGTGACGTCCAGCCAGAGGGGGCCACTGACCAGAGTGGCGTCCCGCTGCCCCATGGGATGTACCCCTCTCCAGGTGCATGTGATGAGTATATCAGGATATATATGCACGAGCGGCGGGTCCCAAGGGCTCAGCTCGCTGAGTGGGAGGGCAAGTTGACTGGTTTGAGGGAGCACGGGGAGAAGATTACGCTGAAGCTGATCAAGATGAAGGATCTGTGGAGGCAGGCAGCGAGGGACGCTAAGGCTCTTTCGGCTTTGGCGTTGTGGGAGGGGTTGAAAAGGGAGGGGAAGATCTAAGGTGAGTTTACATGGGTATATTGCTCTATTCAACCAACGATTCTTCGCCTTGACTAGCACCCTTCGGGACGAGGGTTCCAACCATACATCCCCACGAAGACCAGCTGCTACCGCAGCTTAAACTTCTTCGCGATTTCGATTCCTTCGGCGAGGTTTGCCACCCGCGCGTCAATTGCATATCCCTCTTTCTCCAATCTCACACACTCCTCCCACAACCGGTCCAACCTCACATGAAATACGTCAATAAACTCATTCTCTTCCAGCTCTGGCTGCGGATTCTGGTTCTCCGGTCGGCTCATATCGACACTGACGTGGACCATGCGGAGGTTAGTGTTACAGAAGCCAGGATCTACTCAAGAAGTCAGCAGGTCCAATCTATGAAGCAAGGGAGAACAAGCTTGAAGACTAGCCATTAAACATTACGGGCGAGGTGTCCAGCACCTCGCCCACGTAGCCTGTTTCCTCCCTGAGCTCGCGCACAGCGCATTGCTCGGGTGTTTCGCCGGCGTCGATGAGCCCGGCGGGGAGCTCGATGACGATTTTGTCGACGGGAGGGCGGAACTGTTTTTGCAGGATGATTTCAGGCCCTGGAGCATGTTCAGTGAACTGGAAGGTTCAACTCTGGTAGGAAACAAGAAAACTAGTACCGGTATCCTTCTCCAAAATGGCGGCGATCCCCACGCCGTCGATGTCACTACCTGCCGGCCGGGTAGTGCGCTCGGCAGATTCCCATGTGCGCTCGACGCCCTTGGGGTCGACGTAGACTTTTCTGAATGAATGTCAGATCTTGAGTGACCCTTTTAACTTTGCATGAGGTTTCGCAAACTGCCTTGACCTACTTAACCAGCTTGGTCCATACTGCCTCCTTCTCCGGCTGTCAAAGATGGTTGGCACCAATTACACATTTTCGAGATGGCATTGAAACCTGGAGGGTGGGTTTGGGTACCAATGGCTCGGTGCCGATAACTTTGGCGTCAGCAAGTGACATTTTGCTCTTGAGAATCGATATTTTTGATCGTCCGGAGGTTTCAAGTTGTAAGATGCTTTAAGGCTCACTTAACAGACGCATGAACTGAGGCTGAAGCAGAGGCGAGGGCGACGGGCACGGGCCCAGTGGACGTTACGGCGACAGTCAGCTGAAAAAATCCCGACCCACCTGGGGCACCTTGGATATGCTTGCAATCTTTTTGTCCTTGACACTGAAATTTGGGCGCGATTTCCCAGCGAAGCTTTACGGTCCAGCCTTTCTCACCCAGCCCAGTAGCAAATGAACCGTCCAAAGTTTTAGTTTCCGTTATAGCATTTCACTCAGAACTGAATTTCATATGCGATATGAAGGGCTCGGGGATAACACGGCTGGCTGCTGTTGAGAGAATTGGCTCCAAGCTCTCAACAAATGGCAGGTCAAGTTATTCATTCACGGATCTCAGCCAGAGTTCGACGATATACAATTCTTAAATGCTAACTTGATGCATTATAAGGGGGAAAGATGACGTGGGCATGCAAAACACTGCAGCGGGGGAGAGGGGCTGGCTGTCACTCCATGCTGGCCTCGCAGAGACGTTTTGTCGCGGCCACTGGCCAAAGGCGGGGAAACCAACCCTTCTTGTCCAGTTTCTGAAGACTTGTTCAGGGCAACTCGTCTGATAAAGCAAGGGTGTTATTGAGTTGGTTTGAATGCCGACCTGAGGCAATTACACCAGGTATCGCAAAGTCAAACTGCCTCCTCCGTTCGGATTAATCGACGCTCTCGTGACAATTAGACAAACGATCAATCTCTTTAAGAACCTCTTCGAGAACCCGACCTCGGAAGTCGGCAGCAAGCAACTCGAGAGCCCAGATGCCCCACCTCAATGCAACCTCCATCAGATCTTCCAGGTAATCCAGCTCAGGCGAAAGGCGTTGTGCCTGACACAACGTCGCGATGACGACGTGTCTCTCCCTCCCTTCTCTTCTCGTCTCGGCAAGTGACGGAATGGGATGGGCAATTCTGGGTTTCATCACCGAAAGTCCGAGCCGAGACTGCAGTGTACCTGATCACTTTACATGTCCGGTATCCAGCTGGGCCCTCCTGGGCGTACAGACTGCGCTAGAACTGTGCCACGTTCACGCATCCGTTGCGTCCGGCTGCTGATCCACGGCATCACGGCATGCACAGCAGCGACAGCTTAATACTTAACGGCTGGATGGAATCCTTCGAAGGTTACCCATTGGCCTACACTGGCTAAGTATTACTCCTCAATATTGTGGGCTTCTCGAGACAAAAAAAAAAAAAGAAAGAAAAGAAAAAAGGAAAAAAATGCGGCACAGGTGTAAGCTGAAGTCAACGAATCCTAGAAGCGACGGATGCTCAGTGCTGAGAACAGTGTCCAATCACCGCCAGGATATCATGTCCGATCGATGATGTGGATATGTAAGTATGCGTGGTTGGGGTGTGTTTTTTGGGTCAAGCACCTGCCTGATGGGTGTGCGCTAGAAGATTTGCGCGCACAGTAATCGGTAGGGCGCTGTTGCATCTCGCTCCGCTTTGCTGCCGTCCCTTGTCTTGTCTTGGTTTCGGTGCCGCCTGGCTGGAGTAGCAGCATGGGCTTGGTTATAAGGACCGTCGTCCCCACCATGATGTCCGGTTGTTGTTTCAATGGCTTCGTGGCTCGACGTTTGGTTCCCGTTTACATATCCCTGCTTCTGAGCGTTAGAGTCAGTTTGGTCACTGTCGACCAACTCATCTTTGTCCTGGGATTCTCTCCCTGTTGACACTACGGCCAACCTTCATGTCCGGATACCCTTTCCCTTCAGCCCGAGCCTCACGTTTACTCCGTGTTTCCCCCTGAGCGGAGTGCAGTCATCAGTCCGGCCACAACCCCTTACGACCCCGACACTCTTGCTTACCTCGATCTATCAGAGCCTTCATCGGCTAGGATGAGCTATCAAACCACCCGGACTTCAGGGTTGACTCTAGGCCAGGGCCTCACCCTCGACACAGACACTGAATCATCCACTCACTACACCGAGCGTACTCCCCTTCTCGCCGGCACTCCAACACCGCCCCCATCGAGTCCAGTCCCGAGCAGATTACCCAGCCCAGCACGAGGTGATAACTCGAGGCGGTCGTCGCGCACTAACTATGGCAACGACGACGGTGTAAGGGGAGGGTTCTCTGCTCTCGAGCAGGTCAAGAGCCAGCTAAGAAAACGAGTCATCCCCCTCGCTATGGTGCTAATCTTCCTGCTGGAGCTATCCGTCGGCATCATGCAGCCCCCTCAGAACGCCATCATGGAGAGCATCATCTGCAGGAAAATGCACCCGGAGGTGTTCACCCCTCCACCACCTGGGACTGGGCCGGAGGAGGGGCTGCTCCCGCCTGCCCTGCCTGGCCCCGATAACCTGGATCATATGTCTCTGGCCATGTCCGGGCCGAGAACAATACCGAGCAGACCGGTCCGACCCCGTCTCCGATACTATCCTGGCTTGGTCCTCGCCGATGACCCACTCTGCAAGGGCTCCGACGTCCAGGGGTACCTGGCCACTGTGGTCGGGTGGCAAAGCACGTTTGACAGTATCCCAGGTATTGTCGGATCTGTGCCTTACGGTGTATTGTCAGATCGATGGGGGAGACGGCCGGTGATGGGATTGAGTTTGGTCGGGATTGGGCTGAGTTTTGCTTGGTGTTATGGGGTTTGTAAGTTCCCAGGTTTTGTTTTGGGGGGATTATTGACGGAAAGGGAAGGCTCGAGGCTGACATGAATGCCCTTAGATTTCTTTTCGAGGTTTGTCCCGTTGCGGGTGGTGTGGTTCAGTTCTGCATTCCAACTGTAAGTCCTCCACATTAGAGGTCTGATCATAGCATGCCAGCCAGCTAATCCTTTCAAAGCATCGGCGGTGGAGGAGCCGTCGCCATTGCCATGATGTACACCGTGATAGCGGATGTAGTAGCCATTTCTACCCGCGCAACCGTTTTCTTCCACATGACAGCAGCTTTTCTCGCATCTCAAATGATTGCCGGTCCTACCGGCGGTACTTTGTTGGCTTGGAATCCGTGGATACCACTTCTGCTGGCACTCGCATTACTTGTCATTTGCTGTTTCCTGGCCTTCTTCGCCATGCCAGAGACTGTGCATGTTCACGATCACCATAACACCTCCGCGGCACTCGACGAGGACGATGACCCCGCAGCGTCCAAACTCCTCCGCAAAGCCCGTGCTGGACTCGAAGAAGTATATACCTTCATTCTAGGCAACACTCGTCTGGCATTCCTCATCATCTCTATGGTTTTCATCATCCTCGGTCGCATCGTCGGCGAGGTGCTCTTGCAGTACTCTACCGACCGCTACGGCTGGTCATGGACGAAGGCCTCGCTTGTCCTGACCATTCGCAATGCCGGCAGTCTGCTGACGCTGCTCGTATTGCTGCCGGCGGCCAGTTGGGTGCTGATCAGCCGGCGGGGGTTGAGTGCGATGGAGAAGGACCTGTGTCTGGCACGCTGGTCGGGCGTGGTTCAGGTTGTGGGCAGCGTGGTGATTGCGGCTGCTGGGAACGGGGTCATGTATGCGATCGGCTTGGTATGGTTTGCTGCTGGGGCGGGGATGACATCGGTTGTGAGGTCGTTGCTGAATGCCCTCGTGGAGGAACATCATGTGGGCACGGTGAACTCGTTGATTGGCTTCATGGAGATGATCAGCGTGGCCGCGGCCAGCCCCATGATTGCGGAAAGTCTCAAGCTTGGGTTGAAGCTTGGAGAGCCGTGGGTTGGGCTGCCGTTTATCACGGCAGCTGTGTTCTTTGGTGTGGCAACCGTGATTGTGAGTATGTTTAGGCTCCCGAAAAGAGCTGACACTGGAGACCCAGCATGATGACTCTAGATATCAAAATCCTAAGTGTTATGATAGACTTCGTGCAGATCCATAACAATGATAAAAACAAGTGCCATGGGCTATATCGGACGGGATTTTAAATTCTCGGTGAATTTGAGTCTGATCATGCTGGTGACGTTTGACTCGGTGGTTTGTCCTCCGAGCATGAGCTTGCCCCATTGTCTCTCCCCTCTTATGCACAAAATGCCAATCTCTCAGGAGAAATCGAAGCCCTCAATTCTTCGAGAAGCGATCGATAGTTTGAGATTGGCGGTTTTAGACATCGAGCTAGTCCGAGTCAACCAGGACCAGGCCGTGAGAGGATAAAAATGCCAAAGCGGCGAAGATTCATCCAAGATTATGTGGATGGACTGGAACCTCGATTGAGAGTGATGATCGCTTGGCGCTCCACAAGCCAGGGTTGTAATTGAGCGCCACAAGCTCAGCAGTGTAACGATGGGTAAAGAATGTATTTTTAGGCACAAGAGCATTTTGCTTCTCGTTTGTTTCATTCGGACTCTGCTCGCACAACTCCAGATGATTTTGATTTTCAATTCCAATCTAATTCGATTCTGGGTGGGAGGTCAAGACAAAACTTGATCAGCTGAAAGCTTGTGTTCTGAATACTTACCTACAGGTACGTACCTAGATAGGAACTTGCACATGGTGTTTCTGTCCGTGCAAGATGCAGCTGCAAGGGGGAGGCTACATACGGTATGTAACACGACAGCATGCGGGCGCGGGATGTGAAATTACGACATTGCTCTTGCGTCACAGCCAGGAGGTCCTGGATCTCACCGGCAAGAGACCTTTCGGTGCAGGAAACAAAAGGCAGAACGGTGAACCAGATCTTGAGCGTTTGCGGGCCGCGGCATCGTGCAGCCGAGGGAGCATGCTTCCGTTGCGTGAAACGAAGTTTACGAATGTGGGCTCAAGCCTGATGGAAGAACCATGATTTGCGTTTTGTGACCGAAGGCCGTCCCTGTCCCCGCACTCTGAAAACTCTCAGGGTCTCTCAAATCTGCAAGACGCTCGGTGATCAGGTCATCTTGCAGACATGCAGTGCACAAAACACGGCCTTGCCATGTCTAGTCCCTGCCAGCCCTTTTCATCTTAGCTGCAGTGGCACATTTCAGCAACACTTGGGTGCCACGGTTTGCTGAAGAGTCAAGCGTTACAGAGCCTTTCCAGATACACTCCAAGGTTCCATTATAGCTATCAAGAAACTCAAGAGGACACACTTACACGTTTTGTGAAAACAGCATCCATTTTGCACACAACCTTCGAAGTTCCACACAAACCCAAACCCACATCCACCAAATCCCACCAGTCCAGGGGTTGACGGGAAGCGGCCAGGGCCCCTGTCGCTTGCTCCTGCGCTAGCCACGTTAGCCACGAGCTATCTCCACATGCTCCACCAGTGCGTGCACCAATGGCGGTCCATGCCTAATTTCCGCAAAAGGCGAGGAGAACGACGAGCCATCATCTCCTTCCTGGTCTTCGCCCAGCTCCCAGGAGCTCGTTCGTCCGATCAAGCAGGAGCCGCTTCCACTTTTTGTCGAATCGCCCTCTTTGCCTCTTGAATCTTCAATTCCCTCCAGAGCGCTCTTTCTTCCCTTCACTGTCGCTCTCTTTTTGGCCATTATTGCCTTCGATTCTGTCACTCCCTTTCGCCCCCGATCTTTCCTCTCCCTCCGAGCCTTTCTTCCGCCCGATCAGCTCACCCCACCTCCCTGAGCCCAAGGCCAACCCGACCCCTATTCGCATTTGATACGCGACTGGACCTACTCCTCGCCGGGACACCCTCCCGCATTGTCTGAGAAGAGCCCGAGAGCCCGACATTGAGATTGAGACATCAATATGGCCCAGCTGTAGTGATTGTTTGCCACATCCAGCTGTGTCAAAATTACCTATCCGCTAGACACGGCGGACCTGTCAGGAGATACATCGGTATCACGACCACAAGACCGGAAGACGGGCGCCCTGTGTTCTTGTCTGGCCCCCAATTGATGCGTTGATCGTAATCCATAATTGCTCGACAGGATGGTGTCCTTTTTTGGAATAAGGTTTGGCGAGAAAAAGAAGTGAGTGCACACGCAGCTGAAACGGAAATTCTGTTAAGAGCCGGATCCAACTGTTGATGGATGGCAGGAAATCCGATAGGAACATCCAGGAGAAGCAGCCGCAGTCACAGCAGCAAAAATGGAAGCGCATAGACCAGAACGCCCTTGGTGAAGGTCAGTTTTTTGGCAAAAATGTCCATCACACTGTTGTTGTCAACGGCAGCATCCGCTCTGTATCGCGTGCCGGCACGCCGAACAGTGCGCGATCGCCTTATTTCCATGACACACACAACCTCGCCGCTGCGAGCATGTTCGATCTAAACAACCTTGGTCCTGGCCGTCGCGGGAGCCAGAGCAGCCTGAACCTGAAGGCGGCCGCTTCCGACATTAACCTGCGTGGCCGGTTCAGAGCCAACAATATGTCCTCTATCAGCCTGACTGCCCCGAATCCTGCCTTTGCTGCCCCGTCTTCGTCGCGCCCAGGCACGGCCAATGGGCGGAGCAAGCCATGGGTTAACCCGCTCGATGTACACTTTTGTCGCAACACGCCGTCGGGCCCGGCAACTCCCAAGTCGCCGCTTGCTACATCGCCGCTGCAGTTGCCCCCGACCCCAACCACCGACGATGCAGAGTCCAAGTCGGTGTTCGGCGAGGATGCCGATAAGATGGTCGAACAGGTGATGGCATCAGTCAACAAGATGGAGGAGGAGGCGAAGAAGGCACGGGAGAGAGAACGGGAATTGGAGAAGCAGAGGGAGACAGCTCGCTTGGAGATGCAACGGCTCGAGAGACAGAAGTCGACCGAGAGCACCTTATCCATGCGGCGCCCGTCTGTCGCGCAGACCGACCCTGAGCCAGATCCGGAGCCACTGCCCGCTCTGCCAGCCCTACCGGATCCAGAACCAGCAGCAGCTCCGAAGGCCAATCCTAACTCAAGACCGTCGAGTCGAGGCGGTCCGACTGCTCAGATACGATCCCCCTTGATACACCAGGGACCTCCGCCAACTGACCCTCCTACACAATCGCTGCCCCAACTGCCGGCTGCTGCGCTGTCTCGTCAGGGCTCAAATGCCACCGTTCGACCTGGCACCTCTGGTTCAGCTGCATCCTCCTCTGCGTCACAAGAGGCTTCCTCTCCCACAATCGTAGCTCGCCCTTTCGGGGCAGCTTATCAAGGCATCACTCCTTCAAGTCCGACCTCAGGCAGCCCTAATACACAGGGAGCTCCCAAGAAGATCTACCGTCCGTATCGGCCCTCGCCCCTTACTGGACCTAGCCTGCTGAACCCCGGACTCGGCGCAACCTCCCCTCCGCCTAAGTCCCCGCTCCTCGGCAAGGACTATGTCGAAAGCCCCGTGCTGGGAGGTTATCCGCCTTCGGCAGCCCGTGCCAACGACGAAGTCAAGACTCCCGATGCCCCCAAGACGCCAGTCCAGGAGACGAAGGGTCTTGAGCCTCTCCTTGCGTCGCTGACTTCGCCCTCCAATATGACTTCACCTGCCACTTCGATCCGCCGGCTGTCACTTGACGAGGAACCAATCGACCAGTCTCTGCGGCCTATCATTCGCGAAGTGACAGCCAAGCGCGAAACCGTTCTTACACCTCGCCAGCACAGCCTGTCCATGAAGATCGAGGAATTAGAAAAGTCGCTGCTCACTGCGCAACGCCAGGCGCACATGTCGACAACAGAAGAGTCCAAGAGAGATAGCATGACGAGCAGTTTTTATGACGAAATGGATAAGTTTGATGACGACGACGACGGGCCAATTTTGCCTGCCCCACTGCGAATCCATCCTGCGGAAAGGGAATTGACAGCAACACCCTCGTCCCCTCGAACTGCGGCTCTAGTGACCGCGCCTGTCGCTTCGCCGCCGACTATTCCTGCTACTGGGCCTGTTTCCTCACCCCCGACCATCCCGGCTGCGGCGCCAGCAAAGCGACCGGAGAGTCCTTTCCGTATTCCTGTAAGGCGTGGACCGCCCCCTCGCCGGCCAACCTTGGATGAGTACGGAGTCTCTCCGAGCCAGGTCTCTAGGCGCGCTGGGACGGCAACACCGACTTCGCGCAGCGGCAGTTTTGATGACCATTCACGTGGCCCCAGCCTGGACAATGGATCACGCGGCGGCAGCATTGATAACTACTCTCGCAGCAACAGCCTGGACAACTACAGTGTACAAAACTCGCCAGCATCGCGCGCTCAGACGCCCCAGCTGCGCCATCCTAACTGGCGCCGCGACCCCCCGCCGGCGCCGTCCCCAATTGTCGAGGAAGCACCGCCCCATCCGCCCAACCCCAACGGGTTCGTGGATACCGGCTTCAACTTTGATTTTGGCCCCTCAGTCGCTTGCCCGGCCCCGCCAACTCCCGACTCGGCCAACTGGCCTTTACAGTCCTCTGTCCCTGAAAAGCCGGCAGCGTCTCCGCCCCGGGCCATCACTGAGTCGCCCGAGGCGATCCAGTCCAATCACACTCGAGGTAGGCTGGCTAGGGCTAATGTCCCGCCTCCTCTCAACCTCCAGTTTAATAACTTCAACTTCTCCCCCGATGCGCCTTCGCGCGATCCGACGTTGTTTTCCCAAAAAAGTTTGCTCACTCCTCCTTTGAGGACTGCTCCCCCCCCTACTACAGGGTCCATGGAAGTTGACTCGAGGCCGGATACTTCATCCCGCGCCAACGGCGTTGGCAATGGGAGCGCAGGATTAGCGGCGTCCCCGAGGCTGGTATCGCAGTTCCCCCCAGATGATGACCGTGCTGCGGCGTTCATGGGCATTGGCGTTGCGCGCGGCCCAAGCATCCGACAGGTTCGGAGACCGCCGCAGAGTCAAGGGGGAAGGTTGGAGATGGTTGATGAGTTTGGGACAGGGTTTATTTAACAACAAGAGGTGAGGTGAATATAGAAAGGGCTAATTTTTTGGCATGTATTGGAGAATTCTTTCGTTTACATATCGTGATCTTGGATTCATACACTTTTTTTTGTTGTTGGAAGGACTTCGCTGGATTGGTTTTGGCATATCCAAGGGTCATATCAGCGAGTACGCATCAGTTGTTTTGTTTGCGATTTTATTTTCCTTTTGACTGCCCAGAACTTATACCCCCAATCTCGATCTCATAAGAAAGCAAGCAAGTAAGCGATGATCAATCGTTAGCAAAACAAGGTTCTTATTCTGTCCTAGCAAGAAAGTCTGATACCAAGTACAGGTCACATCATGCCATACTTAATTCGATTTGCCTGCCGTCCATCGAGTGGTTTCTGAAGGAAATTGAAAACCGAGATATATGCCAGATGCATTAAATGGAATAAACCACCCGCCTGCCCTGCCTATGTTCGTCCATTCCAACGAATACCATTCCAATTCTATGAAAATTTTCAGACTCCAAAACTCCGGTTCTGATACCAAGCTACCAAACCTCACTACCTAACCACCTACTGATCCAAAAACCTCCTCACCGCCCCACCTACGTTCTCAACATCCAACAAGAAGGTGTCGTGCCCGAACAGACTCTGCTCCTCACTCAACTCCACGTGCTCCACTTGCGTATTACCCGCTTGCCGCAGCGCCTCGGCTATCTCGCGCTGCTGCCACGCGGGGAACAGGATATCGCTGGCCACGCCCATGACGAGTGTCGGATGGTTACGAAGAGGCGCCAGTCCGGCGACGAGGTCGGCAGGAGGATTGTACGCTTCGGCCGCAGCCCGCCGTTGCACGGGCGTTGGGTCGGTCAGGGTCTGGATGATCTCGTTGTGGGCCTGGTTCTGGCCGTGTTGATCCTGATTGCTGAGGTCGGGCGGCGTCAGGATGCAGGTGCCGTCCTCGTCCTGGGCACTTGGGTCCGCGGCCTCGGCCAGCCGGCGCACGAGCGCTTCTTCCCTGCGGCGCGCGGTACGCCTCTGGTTTTCGAGGCCTAAGTCGAAGAGGTCCATGGCCTTGCTAACGTAGATCAGGCTGTTCGGGTCGTACGTCAGGCAGAACTTCTCACCAGCGTGGTCGAGGTATGTCTCAACGAGGAAGTCAGGGCAGAGGGCCGGAGGTTTGGCGGAGTCGGCGCGCCTGCGCCCGAAGCGCTGCTCCCATTCTGGGCCGGACCGGTACGTGATGGTGGCGATTTCGCGCGCCAGTTTCATGCCTGTGTGGGGAGGGACCCGGCCGTAGTAGAAGCCTCGGTTCCAGTTGGGATCGTTCAGGATGGCGCGGCGCTGCACGTAGCGCATGGCGATGCTGTAGGGATGGCTGCGCGCGCAGGCAGAGATGGTGACCACGCGGCCAACGCGATCAGGGAACTCGACACCCGCGGCAAGCGACTGCATCCCGCCCATGGAGGAGCCCACGCTGGCGTGCAGCTTGCGCACGCCCAGGTGGTCCAGCAGCCGGAATTGTGCGCGCACCATGTCCTGGATGGTGAGAATCGGGAAGCGTGTGGCATAGCGCTTACCGTCCAAGGGGTCGATGCTGCTGGGGCCGGTTGACCCGTAGCACCCACCGAGTACGTTCGTGCAGATGATGAAGTACTTGTCTGTATCGAGCGCCTTGCCGGGGCCTATGAACTTCTCCCACCACCCGGGCTGCGGGTTCTCCGGAGTCGAGTGTGCGTGTGAGGATGCCGATAGACCAGTATGCAAGAGAATGACGTTTGATTTGTCAGCGTTCATCCGACCCCATGTTTCGTAGGCGATGTCGAACTCGTGGAGCAAGCCGCCATGGTCGAGGAGGAAGGGCTCGTAGGAATGGAAGACTTGGGTCGGGCCGACGGTGTAGGAGGGCTCAGGGCCTCCTGTGTCACCTTCAGTGTCTTCGAGAGAGCGCCGCTGTGCCGCCGCAGCTTCGGCTTGGCGCTGGAGGGTTGCTGAACGTGACTCGAGGGCGTCGACGCAAGGGAATTTCATGGCGGGATTGGAGGGGACGCCGGAGCGCCGGATGAACTGGCCATGAAGATGGCGGCGCGTTGGGGGCTGTTGTAGGCTGGATGATGATGTTTGGGGACGGGTTGAGGTCGGAGAGGGAGATGATGTGGGAGCAGCAACGGCGTCCGCTGCTGAGGATGAAGTAGATCGCCGGGTTCCCGGAACCGGGACGGCGGATCCTACCACGTGGGAGCTGCAGATAGATGGTCTTAACGAGGAGCAGCAGGAGGAAGAGGAGGAGGGCGTGTGGGTAAATCGAAGCCCTCGCGAGGCCCGGCGCAGACTGGCCGTTGTGGACTTCATGCTGACACAACTGACGACCTTACTTTCCAGATCGGCTTTCTCTAGGTAGATAACCTCTTCCTGGAACGGAGGTAGCTGTTGGCGGCTAATTGGGGGTTGGAGAGTTTCAGGATCAAGGCGCTGAGGTTCGAAGGGGCGGAAAGCAAGCTGAGCTGTTGGAGCCGGCAGGGCTGTCACCAAAAGACCGTCTTCAGTTACTAACACAAAAAAAAATCGTGTTCGCCTAGGATCAGTATTTTCTCGTCTTTTTCCGGAGGTTGAGACACAACAGCTGGCTCCCGGCCAAAAATACCAGACACAAGACACACAGAACACTAAAAACCCCGGACTTTCTCACAGGAGGAGGAGAAAAAAGGAAGATACCAGGCAGCCGGCGCCGGCGCCGGTGTTGCGCCCTTTGCTTCCCCTTCAGCGCCCTCTTCCCTCTCGCATTTGTGTAAGTGTGTGGGATCAGCGCATGGATCTCGAATGTCGTCATTTCACGTGCCTCTTGGCGCGGGATGATAAGATCCGATACGACCCCCCATTAGGGCGTGTGATTAATAAGCTTTTGCGGGGCCTTCTCGGCGCATGCGGGTTAGGGTCTTGGCCTTAGCCAAGGCGGCTGCGGGGAGCCCAAGGCTCTGGCGTCCTGGAGTGGCCCAGTTGGCGCCGTCGGGTGTTGGCGTGGCCCAGTCCAAGACTCCAGCATTCGCGCGTTCGCTTGATGGGTCGATGACGTCGCCTCAACCTGCCCGGAGGGAGCTGGGAGTTGGGACTTAGGACCCTCACTCTCTGGCCTACGACGCTAGCGTATCAGTTCTGACAGGCTAGTTACCTAGGCAAGGTAGCTTGCCCAACAGGGATACATCACAATTGACGTAGCTTCCTCCGCCAGCCTGTTAAAACAGCTTTATAAAGCAGCTACTTTGCTCCGCCAGCATGGCCGGCTCGCGTCTCAGTTTCACCTCCTACCTCTCTTCTTTTCTAAGCTCCCTCCCATTTTTTGGCAGCAGCAACAGCGAGAACACATCATCGACCACTATGTCTGAGCCGTATGAGCCCAGCATCGCCGACGTCCTCATCGTAAAGGCCATGCTTACCAAGGGCATATGCAAGTCCCTTCCCCGCGAGCTAGTTGACCTCGTCCTCGATTATGCCGAGTACTGGCCGCATATGACTGTCCATGAATCATTCAACAACCAGTGTGTCGCGAGAGGCCGAAGCAACCGGGAAAATCGACTTATTGTTGGTCCCCTCTACCTTTACACCTCCCTTCCAAGCCAGAATCGTGCACTAACAACCCAAGCTTCGAACCCCTCCTATCGGCCTGAAGGCTCCTAACTGGAGCACCAACGCCAACGACACCGTCTTTCGCCCTGCCCCAAAAGACCAAACCTACTCTCCAGAGACCTTCCAGCCCTTCCGTGTTTCTCCCGACCCGATGCTCCTACGCCCCTGTCGCCGCATCGTCTTCACCATCCGCAGCCATGACCAAGGCTGGGGTGGACAGTTCGAGGACCAGGGCACATTCCATGGGTCATGGACATGGTTCGAGGTGGGACTGGAGCGCTTCGTCAAGCCAGAGTGTGGCGAAGGCCCTGAGGAAGGGGAGAAACCGACTTTGCGCCCCGACCACCTAGGCACTGTCCTGCCTCTCGTTGAACCCGACGGAGAAGAAAACGGCAAGCGAAAGTATAAGCCCAAGCACCCCCTGCTTCCCACACCAGCGGTCACAATCCAGGTCAATAGGGTCGCTGAGCAGGAATATGCCGAGCACAAAGTCGTCTGGAGCTGGGATGATTATCTGGATGACAACGACACGGAGGCCAAGGCTAAACTGGAGGAGAATGGCCGTGGTAGTGAGACGGGCAATGGGGAGTTTGTGCGCAACCTGCAGCTGGGAGATGTAATTACCGTGTGGGCAAAGGCCCGGTTCCCTGGGTGGGAGAACTGGATTGATTGGGCGAAAGTGGATATTTACTTTGCGGTCTAAAGGACACTGGCACACTGAGCAGGAAGAGTTTCTGAAGTCACGGGATGCATGGATACCCTTTTGGTTTTGCTGGTTTTTTATATATGAATGGTGGGATGATGGGAGATAACAACAACTTATGATATGTGCATGGGCAATAGAAGGGGAGAATGCTTACTTAGGGCCAGGTTTTACTTGCTGAACTCAGCGTTATGACGCCATCGCTTGCCTTCAGTTTATCAGGTTAGGTGAAAGCAAAACAGAGACATGATCAGCTTGCCCTGGTGAATAATGTTTTAGTAGTTCACATTCCAAATAAAAAAACATATCAAAATCATTCCAAGATTTGCGTTGTTTTGGTTCTTGATTTCTTCCTTCGGTTCACACGCAAAGGCATTGATTATTTTTGCTGAATAAAACTGTAACATGAAGGAAACACCTTTGTGGTGCTGTTTTCACCCTTTGTAGCTTCATAACCAAGGATTAAATGCACCCACAGGAGTCTTTCGTCTCAAAAAAAAAGAAAAAAAAAGAGGGGTAAATATAGCCAGGGTCTGGTTAGTTGAATGCGGGATCATGACGAGATTGCAGGGTCAAATTCCAGGTTGGTTGCATGCTATGAGCTGTGAGAACTGGCTGGAGTTGGAAGGGGGTGGTGGCTACGATGGGGAGAGGAGTCCTAACCTCTATTTGATTCTGTTCATTCATCATCCTTACCAGACTTTTTATGCACAACAACCAGGCAATGATCAAGAGACAGTTTCGATTCATTACAATTTATCTGATTTTTTTCTCTTTTCTACTTTTATACCTATGTATCCTCATCCTTCCCTAATACCACACATCATCCCCTTATAAAAAAGCCATGACTAAATCTTAATATCACCTTCCCCTATGCCAGCGGTGATGTGGTTATAAACCTTCCTCTTCTGTTTCCTATGCATACAGGGTGTCATACAACGGTTGTTCTCTTCTTGTTGCGCCGGTATTGTTGCCGCCATTTACCAGGTATCAAATTAATCAACCAACCAGCCTGAACTGACCATCCTGCCATCACCACCAACCAACCAACCCAGTCACAACTAATGACTCAGAAGGATGCCATGCCCAAGAAACACTTTTCAATCACACATAAAAAACCACATCAGGATTATCTCAGAATGAAGAACCAGCACCGAGACATCAACAAGACACCACACACACAAAAAAAGCACACTTGGAGTATCCATCCCTCCGTATCCCTTGTTTCATCGGACAAAATCACAGTGTTGTTCATCTGCCTGCCTGTCCTGTCCTGTCCAGTCCTTTCACTTGGCCACTCGCTTCTCTTCTACCAGTCTTGTGATTCGTCATATAATCTCCATGGCAGCGACACATTTGTGCTGGATGGCTGGTTTAAGGTGAAGGTAGGTAGGTGATCAGTGTTCCGTGCAAAATGAGGATGAATACAATATTTGGGGTATGTATGTATAACATGCCATTTTTCGCTCCATTTGTGATTTCCGTTGAAAAGAGAAAACCAGTAAAAGAGATAAAACTAAGACCAGACCGTGGTATCCCGTGTCTATAAGTCCATGATGCAGCAACAAAACCAAAATATGCAGGAATGTAGTGGACGAAAGAGGAGGGTTTGGGCAAGGAAGAAAAAGAAGTGGGGAGAACTGTACAAAGAAAAATCCTCCTCGCCTTCCTAGGTATATCCAGGATCAAACAAGGACAGCAGCTTCACGAGCAAACGCCACGCTTCTGCCAAGCTGTCCAGTCCACAAATATTTGCGATGACCTCATAGCCCATAACTCACGGGCAACACCCCAGTGGGCATCAAAATAAACCCCTGGGAAAGAGACACCCGCCCTTCCCTCCTCTCCTGTCCATTTTCACACCGGTAACACGATCCATCAACATTGCGCTTCGTATACGTTCCTTTTCATGCCACGTTCATGATGATGCACGGCTTGCTTAACCAGCGTCGACTTCGACGGAGGGAAACAAAAAAAACATCCCTCAGCAAGCCTCACCGATTCAACCATCCTCCATCCACCACCCAGCCCAATCCCTCCCTGAACTAACAATCCATGTTGCAACTCCAATGGAGTGCTAGTGCACGTTAGCTGCAATTACAGGCAAGTGCGCAGGCAGACAGGCAATCATGGTCCTCAATCATTAGGCACAAGCTCAGGTAACGACCAGATAATGAGTGCCCCTGGGGATCCCGAACAGGGTTGTCCAATCTGAACTCATCATTGGCTTGGCATGAGGGCAGCCAGAACCATTGACAAGTATCCAAGAAAACCCATGCCTGCTATCCAGTCCGTGCTTCACTTTGCCTGGTCATTGCATCGCTCCCTGGAAGACCCCGGGCCAAATGCACGGGGGGCAGATGCAGCAGGGACAGCACTGTCTGGACCAGGAGACTTCCATCACCCAATCGCAGACAAGGTCATGTTTTCAGCCACCCTTCCGGTCTGCCTCATTCTTTGGTGGTTGCTCACTGTGACTGGAGCCATTGACGAGGTGCTTAGAGTCGCCGCCGCCAACCTTCTTGCGCTGTTTTGATCGCTGCCACCCACCAGCGTTTTCTGAGTGATTCCTGGTTGTACGCGTATGTCCGTTCTCCTTTGCAACGCCATTCACCCTTTGATCCTGTACAGGAGACCGGTTGGCCGAGTCGTTGAGCTGCCTGTTTGATGATGAACTGGTGGGGGACTTGTTCACTGGTGCCTTTTGACTCTGCTTTGAGAAGTCTGAACGATTTTCCTTGTGCGATCCAGACCCAGGTGATTGTGTGCCAGGAGATGGCTCAGATTTTCGTGATACTGTCGGGGATGGAGTGCGATGCTCATAGACCGGCGAGAGATGAGGTATCTCCTGGTGAACACCAAAATCCTGAGTCGCTAAGTCGAGTGGTGCTAGCTGCTGGCGAGTATGGAGTCTCGCAAAACCCACGAGGCTGCCATTCGGATCACCGACAACCGCCGAATAGGGAAGATGGAGGGGGACCCCCATGGCCATACGCTGCTGAAACGTCGCATCGAGCAAACTCGGCACTGCAGCAGGAGAGCGGTTTGTGGAAGACCCATTCACAATAACAGGCCGGTCCGGAGGTGGCGGCACAGCAGCCGGTTCGGTATTGGATAACGGAGCGGAAGGCTGCTGCTCTGACCAGGAGCTAGGGCTCATGCTGTGTTGGATGTGCAAGGCATTGGCATTGTCGTGGTGACCCCCATCCTCTGAGGCATGCGCGTCGGGTGCCTGTGGGGGTCGGCGGGATGCCAAGGCCGAGCTGGAGGCTGGCACGGAACCATTGACCACAACCGGCTTGGATGACGGCTTTTCGCCGCCAGCCTGGCCAAAAGGCGCCGACGGTAGCGGAGCTGAGCTCATACCCACTGATATGGCCCGCGTGTGTCCCATGGGCGATGGCGACCGTGACGTCCTCTTCATCCTACGGTCGAGGACAGATTGAGGGAGCTGGTCAGTGGACAGGCGGCGGCGCCGGGCCTGGCTGCTCTGGCTTATCGGGGCAGATAGCGTCGCACCAGACGAGCTGGGAAAGCCGTTCGCCTGCCTGTTTGGGCTTGCGTGCTCGTTCACGTAATACCCTATATAACGTGGGCCGTCGTCCTCAGGCGGAGAATCAGACAAAACTCTTGGCGTCGCCCCCCCCTCCATCTCCCCATCACCTGCCTCGTCGGGGACGAAGCTCGGTACTGTCATGCCATTTAGTTGCCGCATTTGCGATGAAGTTGCACCATTCTGGGATTGGCCGGATGTCGAGTACTGAGACAATGGTTGAGAGATGACCATCGGCGTCCTGGAGGCTGGCTGGGATTGCGACCTAAGAGCACCGCTGCCAGGTGAGGAGCCCGAATCACTCGTACCCGCATTCCGGTGAAGGCTGCGTCGGTATTCAGCGGCTTGCCCATTGGCACTTGGGGCAGTTGCGGTTGTCGCGGGAGAGGATGGGTAGGTGGTGAAACCAGGATGGAAGTATGCTGAAGGCTGGACCGGAACCGTAAACGGGTATACCAACTCTGGCCGTACCGGAGCGGTCAGCGGTGGGTTGTCAAACGAATTTGTGCGTGCTCTGTCTGTCGCCGAGCCTGTCTGTAACCGTTGCGCTTGCGCAAGAACCTGTTGTTGCTGGTTGATCGAGGTGTAAAGCTGGAAACGCATGATCTCCTGGGCAGCTTGGTGAGCGGGAATTTGACCGAACGAGGTGGCGATAATGTCCTGGGGTACAGTGAGCTGGGGACTCTGAGCTTGATACCACAAAAGATCCTGGGGACTTAAAGGATTCGCCAGAGCAGTTTGCAGGAATGTCGGATTTGGCTCGTACTGGACTCCTGACGAGGCGCGACGCCCGCCACTTCCATTGCGGCCAAACTGGCGGTTCCCACGGTAACCGCCACGACCACCACGAGTGCTATGTGCCTGCTGAGAGGAACTCCTCAACAGAACTGGTCTCGAGATAGTCGGTGGCTTGATGTATGTCCTCTCCTCTTCCTTTGGAAAGACATACTGCTCACAGCATTCCTCGAACTTGCCCTCGGAAATCAGTTCAAAAGCTCTCCTTAACTCCATGTGCAGCCCACGGAATGACGTGTCATCCGCTGTATTTCCCAAGTTGCGAACTGTGTTGAAAGGCTCCTCAACGCAAAGCATATTGTTCGATCCGATATGCCATTTCTTTTCCGTTTTGGTCAGAAGCTTGCCCATTCGTATTGACAAAACGTACTTGTCATAGTCAAACTCGTGTGCATAGAACCGGAAGAAGTTGAACAAGAGAGATGCTAAACTCTCCTTGTTCTTGTCGCCAAAGCGCTCCTGAAGCGCCTCAACGTCGTCGGCAAATTCGCTGCGTGTGTTGTCATCTCTGGGAAGCCTCAGGCCGTCGCATTGGTGAAGAGCAGGGAGCACAGGAGGGTCGCGGAGCTGCAGAAAAGCGATCACCATGCAAATCCACGTGTAAGAACTTAACGTCCCACCGAAGGCTGCAAGAGTGAGCCATGTTAGCGACGATCTCCTAACGCAAGCAGAAGGTTGCAAGAGGTAACGTGCCTGCATCATTGACGATCCTCCTACGAGTCCAGTATTTGACAATCATCGCCAATTGCCGCACGCGCTCGTCGATGTCAACATATGTCCGCACCATCCGAGTATTTTCCAGTGCCAATGTATTGTTGACATTCATATCGCAGGCCAATTTGAGCTCAGGGTCCCAAATCTTGACAATGGGGACCTTGGCAGAAGAGACGCAAACGACCTTTTCCATTCCATCTGTGAAAGATGTGTTAAGCTCCGCTTATTGTGATGCAGGCCAGCTAAAGGAAGGTCTTACGTTGATGGAGCAGCTCGGCAATCATGCAGACATTTTCCAATTCCCGCCAGGGGGTGGTGATACAGATGTCCACTAAAAGTAGTCGGTTAGCACGGGTTTCGAATCATCTCAATGTCATTGGTGTCACCGACCATCTGAATCATCAGAGCATGTGTTGTTCCCAGAAGAGCCAAACAAATGGACCTTGATGTCGCGACCTGGCCACTTGTCGTTGAAGAGCTTCTCCAGTTTTGCAACCAGCTTCTTTCGGTTCCCCTCTATCGGCTTAGTTGGCAGCAACTGCTTGTATAATTTGAGCAAGTCGGCATTAAGCCTCTGCTCCTCCTCTTCGGTTAACTTGCTCTTAACCTTGGATAGGTCCACTTTTTCCAGTCGATCAGTCCCAAGGCTATAAGGCATGCGGCGACGTGAATGAGGAATCGCAGTTTCAAATGGACACCCCGCGTATCTCTGAGGAAGTGGCCGAAGGGATGGCACATTGCCATTTGTCTCCGAGTATGCAGATCGAGGTGAATGGTTATGTGTCGCCCCAGGTGAAGGGTCCCGGGATTCACAAGGGCACTTCTTGGGGTGTTGATGTGGTGTAGAGGGAACCGAACTTGAATGGATCGACTGGAAGGAAGAGGATTGAGAAGCAGACGGCGGTAATCGCACGGGCAGCTCACGAGTCAGAGACGGCTCTGGTGGCTTCTTGTTGGTGCTGTTATTGCTGCTGCTGTTACTACTGTTGTGGTTGTTGCTTGTGGTATTGGTGTTGTTGGCTGACATCTTGGATGATGATTGATCCTTCCCCAATTTCATAAGCGCGCGTTCAGCGGTCTCAGAAGTCTTTGCCGGTCTATTCCCATGACAGCTTTGTGCGCTGGATTTTGGTTGGGCGTTGTCCTTGTTCGACACTTTGGAAGATGATCTGGACCGTGTTGTCGACTTGGTCTGTGGTGTAGTCAAAACAGGAGGAAGTGGAGGGGTGTGTAGTCCACTGCCACCACTCCGGCTACCAGAGATCAGCTTGCTGTACTGCAGGATTTTGTCCTGCTGATGAACAACTTCCTGGGTATAGAGGATCGTGCACAGGTCGAACTGAGTGGCGAGGGGGATAGACGGGGTCTCGGATGATGATGTTGGCTTTGCTCGGGCACTAGCTGAGTTCGAAGGGGGAAGTGACCAATGCTGTGGTTGGTAGCGATGGGTTGATTCAGCCGTTGCAGGCTGGCCGTCCATGAAAGCTGAGCGCTGCGAGGATCTCGAGCGCTGGTTACTGTTCCACACAGGGTCGGCCGGGACTAAACTGTTGCTAGTTGAAGTAGGATGAAAACAGGGTACTGAGCCAGCAACCTGGGGAACTGAACTGACTGCGTTGTGGGAAAAGAAGCCCCGAAACTGCTCGTTTCCGTGCGCTCAACAGGTTGGCTACCTAGGTTGTAGCGGGCCGGTCAAAAGGACGACCTGGTTGACTCTCGTGCTTTTTGTCGCTGCTGTCAAAGTCTAGTCAACCTTTTTTGGCTGCAGAGTCGTACTCAAGAGGGAGAAGGATGCGGCACGGACAATAGGGAAGACCAGCCAGAATTATTGCTCAAATCACGCGGGACGTCTTCGACTGGGCCAGGCCTTATTCCTGCGGAGATATTCTCTGCTAGCTCTCTTCAAGGGCTGCAGTTTTTTGCACGCGGAGTCGATGGAACAGAGAGGCAAATATCGTTGGTGAGATCTGTGATGTCTGAACAGGGAGAAGACCCAGAAAGTCGATGCTGTCGATGAAAGCCGGTAGATCGATGCTTCAGTGTATCACCTGGCAGAGACGCTTCGATGGAGGGAATTAACCCTAGACACAGCGCTAGGTGAAGATCAAAACCTGTAATCAAAACGAGAAGTATTGGTGAGCATGAGCCGGTCGGCGGAGACGAGATGCGGTCAAAGGCCGCAACAAAAACGCAATGAAGGGGTCGGCACGAGCAGGGCGCACGGCGAGTGAGGAAGAGTGGATCGGCAGCGAGGACGGAATATTCGGAAGGGGAGAGAGAGTGTGGAATCAGGGCAGTCAACGTGACGAAGTGTGCGTGGTGATGGTTCAAAGGTGGGTAGACTCGAGCGCGCGTGCTTAAGACATGCAGCAAACCCGGATCGCAGGATCAGTGGTGGGCGTACCTGAGGAGGGGGGCGTCGGTCGAGCAGCGAAAGCCAGTCCCAGAGCCGGCACAGGGAGAAATCGATGGCGAACCAGCGTCAAGCCGAGTCGAAGTGGCAGAGAGCCAAAGATGAGAGGACAGAGCGGCCGCTGGCAAACAAGGAGAACGCCCAGGCTGCTGTGACCTGGGGGAACAAGAACCTGGAGGCCAAAAGGCGGAAGAGAGAAAAGGAAGGCAACAAGTGGTAAGAGGGTGTTGAGTGGTAGGGGCTGGTAGGTATAGCTGTGGGTAGGGGGTATGGATATGAAGGGGAAGGGAAATGGCAAAGAGACAGGGAAAGGAGAATGGAGAATCTAAACGCAAACAAGCGGGACGACTGGGGAATGGAGCGTGGATGGATGAGGCGTGCGTCGAGCGTGCTCCTGCTGCTGCTACTGCTGCGTGTGGGCTGGATGGATGGGCAGGCACAATACGGATCCGTACCTTGATCGCTTTGCTCTTCACGATGACAGCCAGCCGTTATCCATTGAACGCTGACACTGGACGCTGGTATAGCAACAGGAATGGGGGAACGGGATGCGGCCCTACGTCGACGCTGCTGCTGCTGCTGCTGCTGTGTGCTGCGGTGCTGCGCTCAGAGCGGGAAACTTGGGGCCGGTCGCCGTGCTGCCCTGTGGGTTCCAAGGTCAATCAATTGCTTTGCTGTGCGGAAAGCAGGTGCCACCAACCAGCGATCAGATTCACCACAATGACCGGGGGGGCGAGGACTGACAAAAAGGAGCACTCCCAGTTGTTCCCAGTCCCGATATTAACCCAGACCGGCCCCACTCCGCCATTGCACGGGCTCCCACTCTAGCCCCCCTGACCAGTCAGACGACGAGCCTCAGGCAGAGACACCAAAGGATGGGTGGATGCTGGCTGGCTGGGTGTGGCCTCTGGGCGACTTCCATAATCTCTTGTCAACACCACAAAGATTCACAACAGCCCGCCTAACGCAGAAAGTCAGAAAAATGTTAATGTCACAGCACTTGAAGAGCCAAGTCATTGCCAACAGCCTGCCATTTGTGCCTCTCCTCTGGAAGAACAGCTGCCCATTGTTTACTGTTGACCCTGGCCAGCCCTGCTGCAACATAACCAATCCTTGGTGATGACTGTTTCTGCCTGGGCTTCACAGTCGACAGCCAGCCGGACACAATTCAGTTGCCATGGACTTTTCTTCCTTTTCTTTGAGTAGGTGATAGTCAATGCCAATTCACGTTGGCTACAGAAATTGTCTTGTTATCGGCCATGCACAAAGCTTGACCTGGCCACATCTGTGGCTTCTGGAATAGGGTAACTTTGGCCTTTGTTCCGGGAGTTCTTGGCGGCCAATGTTCTCAATAGAGGCCTTGTTTACTTTAAGTAGCAGAAATGATTTGTACTTCACCGATACAGGAGTGCTTTGGGTTCTGCCTTCGAGTGCAAATTCCTATCTCTCCTTGGATCTACCGGCATCAGGAAAGTGGAAGCCACTGCTCAATGAGATTTACGATCTGGAAGGTTCATGGTCATCGGCTCAGCATGTGGACTTTGGCAGATTGGGAACCAAAACTCAGGTATGCGTTTTGGTCCCCTTGCATATGACTTGAAGGAGCAACTATCGTCTAGATTGAATTCCCTACGGGCAAGGCAATATGCGTATTTCTTGCGTACATTCTAAGATACTTTTCCATCCAGACCCTATATCAGCTCGTCTCTGGTTACACAACGCAAGTTGTGAGATCAACCATGATTCTGCCCAATCGCTTACCTACCTGGAAGACACCAGGTTCTGTTGCGAGCCTTGCTTCTCGCCTGGTTCCTGGACCAGTCTCGTTTCACCAAACGCAGAACCGCTCGGCTGCGGTTCGAGTCTGCAGACTGCATCTTTGGCTACATTGCCATTGATGACTTGACTGCAAGGCAGCTCTTAGCCCCTAGCAGAGTCGTCGGGGAGATTTCGGCGGCCGTAGAAAGTCCTCGCAGGCCATGTAGATAAATCGGTGTGCCTATTCTTAACAGGTCAAGTCGACACACGTATGGTCGCCTGTTGGGCTCTGTTGACAGCAGCTCCGGTCACACAGGTTAGCGTTAAATACATGGAACTCACTGGTCAGTTCCGCGAGGGTCGAGAGCAATCCAAGGAGATGCGATGGCAGCTGGGCGTCCATGAGGGTTAGGGCTACATGAGGTGTGTTGACACCTGCAGCTTGCCAGTTACCGTACTGCAGTGTTGATGGTGACCGATCCATCCAGGCGGGGCTGAAGAATAAGCCGCGGATTTGAGTCGCCCTAGGGTGACCAAAACTGTGCTGAAGTTGCTTTCTGAGGAGTCAGCAAATCGCCTCGAAAAGGGACCGGCGATGTCGGAAGTCTTTTAGCTTCCTGATTTTGTCATCTCTTTTGACGACGAATAGTGTTTTTCGTGATGATGGCCCCACCAGCGTCCAACTGTCGAGAAGTTCTCGCACGAGAACTCCATCGTTGTCTGTTTAGCCAATCCTACCCGTCCCGCGCGACGGCGCGTCATGCCTCGCAGCCGCTGTATGCCCCACACCCCGCAATCGCCGACAGCAATCCATTGGGTTGAAACCCGTTTTTGATTCTCCTTGCGCTGCCGTCGCCAGGTTGCCAGGAGTCACTTTTGTGCCAAGGGTCTTGTTTAACCCGTCGCATCGCTCCCAGCCATCCAGCAATTTGCTTCTACATTAGCCTGCATCTTCGAGCAATTCTGGAAGGGGCAGTATCATGGTGGCAGCAGCCAGCTGATGAATGAAGTCCAAGGCCAGTCTGAGAGCAACTGCGAAGCTGCGTTCCCACAGCCACCTGACTCAAAGCCGGAACACTCAGCCATGGGCTATTTCTGTCCATCAGATTTCTTCTCAAGTCCTGACAGCCCTCGGAAGCTTGCATCACTTTTGATAAAGCCCGGAACTTGTCATCCGAATTTTTGGTCTTGGCTTTGGCATTTCGAAACAGGCAAATAACACGTGCTTCTGGTCCTCACGTCCCAACGGACAACCCCAAAATAGACCGTGTAGCGACATGGAGTCTACCAGCTGAACCTGCACCGGTATGCTTTCCAGACTCTGAGATAACTTAAACCATCTGACCTAGGAGTTTATGCATCACGACTCGTTTAAAGAGCGCATGGCACTTCGTGGTCTAGGGACGGGGTTGAAAGTTTGTTCCCTTGCTCCAGGGCTTCGGAATATCCCAGCCAATGATCGTGGCAGAAAGAAACAGCCGCCACAGCGGGGAGTCTGTGGCGCCTCAGCCTCGTCCTGGTCCTCAGGGTTGAACAACCACATTCCAGAAATGAGATGTGTAGAGGAACACTGCTCATGTTTTACCAGCGTTTTGTGTAGTCGGCATTTCCATCTTGCCCTTGGGATGAGTTCCCCTCCTCGCAAGAATTTCGATACCACAGGTCAGTAGTGCCTGGTAGGAAAAATGCTTTATCAGGGGAAAACCGCTTTTTCATGGAGAGTCGCGTATGAACACATTGTTCTGGGACGTCACCCAAGCCGCCATATAGAGTTCCATCATATGGCAACAGGCAGATGTGGGTTTTCATTCCTCAGCAGTCTCAAGGTCCAAAATCCCGATCTTCGGGCCATAGCTGTAGGAGTTGGCTGCATTTTTCTACGCCAGTGTAACAAATGTAAAGGGCAAATCCATGCGAAGCGTTTGTCAAAATTGCCTGTATGTGTTGATTGGACTTAACAGCAGGATGCCGCTTGACTAAGGTCTTTTCTATGCTCAATCATTTCTGCATCTCCCCCTGTTGCTGGGAACTTCAATCGACAACAACAACTCCTTTTGTTCTTCATTTGACGCGAGTGAAAGTCAAGCGCCGTGTGTAAGGGTTAACAGAATTTCGGATGCAAGTAAGATTATATCGCTGCCGATTCACTAGCAAAGCGGATTCAGGAAACATCAAAGATGAAGATCAAACGGTCGGTTCTGGTCAGGCTGTCGCTGGATTTTTTTTTGTTCTTGTTCAAGATTCCTAGTGCAACAAAGGTTGAATGAGGGTTGAAAATCGGACCTAGTGTGCCAAGAGAAACTATTGGGCAATAGATGTCTCTAACTCAAGCTCAACTAGGTGATTGAACAGAAACTTGTCCATCTGACACCGTCCCCATATCCTTTTCACATAGATCATGGCTCTCCCTTTCCAACACTCTCTCAATAATTCGACAGCTATCAAACGCTCAGAAAGCACCCTGATGATCCAAACCTCAAGGTACAAAGGCGATGTGGAAAGTCGTCATTTCTCACTAAAATAGCCCGAGTGAGATGCGTGTACAGTGTTGGGCCCAATGCAATGCAATTTTGAGAAGCAGATAAAAAGACACAGGAAGTCTAAAACAGTACAGCAAAGAGAGCAAGAAGAAGCGAAACCACATCCATCAACTTATCTACCCTTACACCTCTACCATCTCATCCCCAACCTCATCGGTGTACAAGCCCTATTTCCTCATATCCAGGTAACTCAGCACTTAACAGGAAGAGCCTGAGAGCTGCCAGACTTCTTAGCCAGAGCGACCTCAGCAGCACGGCGGCGGACAAGGCCTTGAAGAACCTTGCCACCAGCCTTGTTCCACTTGGGCAGCTCCTCGGAAAGAACCTTGTTGACATTCTCGCCGTTGTTTAGGCGCTTGATGAGAGTCGACGACTTGGCAGCGCCGCAGCCGACATTGAAGGACCAACTGACCAGTGCACCGAACTGGTTGTAGTTCAGCTTGGCCTTGCTATTGAGCATGTTCGTAATGCAGACTTCGAAGCTCTGTAGATTTGGGGTTAGTCGAAATTGATGAGGCTTCCAGAGATGGTATGGTTTTTATGAAGGGAGGAACATACCCTCATATCATCGGCCAGAAGCTTCTTGCCATCGGCCTTGGAAAGGGGAATCTTGTACTTGACCTCAGCGCACTTAGCCTTCTGGCACTTGTGGCCGTATCCGACAGTGGCGTATCCAGCTGCATCGGTGTCTTGTTCACGAGTTAGAGCCTTGTTCTTAAGTACAATGCGAGGTTGATATCACATACAGATATTGGCGCGGAAGCCCTCAAACTCAGCGATGAGATCGACAGTGGCTTGGTTAGACTTTGGCGCAGCGCAGGTGCTGCCTCCACTAGAGCTGCACTTGCTGGTCACATAGCCGTTGCTGCCAGTCTTGACGTAATAGTCCGAAACATAGCAGCCGTCAGAGGTCTTGTCCCAAAGATTGTTGCCGTTGATATTGGTGCCAGTAGTCTGGCAGCTGATCTTGACGTCGGTGCCCTTCTTGTAGACCTTCTTGACCGCGTAGCTAGTGCCTGGGCCGCTGCGACAGTTGACGTTGTCGCCGGTAATGGCATAGGCGCTGGCGGGAGCAAGGAAGGAGGCAACGGCGGCGAGGATGGCGAACTTCATTTTGGTGATTGGAGAATGGAATTAGCTTTAGAATAAATGTGAACAGTAGTTAGCAGGTGGAGGAAGCAAATCTGAAAACTTTGGAGGATGAATGTGAGTGGGTGAGATCGCTGTGCTGAGTCGAAGCTCTTGTTCTTTGCTTAGTGAACTGTGTTGTTCTGATTGCTGGAATGGCGACCAAATGATCGTCTTGAGTCTCAGTCTTTATACTTGCAGTTTGCACTCGTGTCAATCACAACCTCTTCAGCCTTGACGTAAATGGTTCTGAAAATAGATTGAAGTCTGTGGACAGTCGAGTTCAAAGGTCATACCAAACTCCACATTACTAGTAAGACGGGCACCAGATCTGCCATGAGCCTCGATGGCAATAGGTTTTTCTCGGTCAGAGTATAGAAAGTCAAAGGTCCACAATATCGTGATCTTTGATGCCACATAAAGGCTGTGCGGACAGAATGTAGCCGCCATGGGGTGAACATATGGCCCGTTGCGCCTCGACCAGGGGATAGCGTAGTATTTTCATCTGAGACCAGTGCATCAGGGTTCGGTGAACCAATAACGTGAAGCAGTAAGACGGAGGTCGCCCCAGCCGATGATCCTTTCTCATTACCAAACGCCTACCCAAACTTTGAAGGAATAATCTAAAAACAAACACAGAGACATCGAACGTTGCATTTTGAAGTCCATGACTGTGTTCGCAACTTTCCAGCTCGTGAGACCTTGTATGCATTAGCCGAACATAGAGTAGTCAGTTGCTCAATTTGCCCAGTCTTGAGCATAAGCATCGTAAAACCGAACAGGGGTTCAAACCTTACATCCAGAACCAAAGTATCAGATGAATGCAAATACTGCATTGTCTGAAGTGTAAAACAACACATAACTGCCTGAAAAAGCTATGTTCGATATTTTGGCATCTGTCATGCCATTGTAAGGCGAGATCTGTTTCCACACCTTGAGCCCTGAGAGCAGGCTGGAGCAACCCTGCCTGACACACACCAAAACCTTCTACTATATGCAGGTCTGGCATGGCTATGTCTATACACTTGACCTGATAATAGGGATATCACCTCTTCAAACATTGAATGCTTGCATGCACACGTCATAATGTCCCGAACGAATGGGTATAGCAGCAAGTGTAAGGGTACCAGAAATGACGGATTAAAATTTTGCTTGGCTCTTAGGAGGATAACACCCATCCATGATCTGCATCTGTATTCAAGGAACGTAGCTGCCTGCTTAAGCGGAGCACCGTTACACAGCAGAACATGCTATCCCGACAGCTTACCGTACTGTGTCGTGCAAAGCACAACCATCTCTCCGACCTTACATGTTATCTTGAATACACGGCTTTTCTTCTTTTACGGATAAAGTAAGCGTCTTGCAAGTTCTGCTCGGGCCCTCAAAGAAACTGTCCAAAAATTAATACTTTGATGAGGATACAGGCAAGTGAGCCATAGAGCTGCCTCTCGATAGTGTACCAACAACCAGAGCTTTGTAGTTGTATCATTCAGCTCCTGACATTCCCAACCTCAGGGAATAAGCTTGGGTTTGCCCAGCAATCTCTCCGGAATTTGGTGGCCATAGGGCAGAGACGCCACCGAGTTGTACGGTGTGGTGGCTGAGCAGCTGGGGCCAGCAGAGATAAAAATAGGGTTGCATAAGGATGGAACGGTCTTCTTGGCAGGCACGGGGAAACACTCAAGCCGAGATCAAAGAAACATTCCTTTGGTCTAGTTTAGTGGAGGTGTTCGGCATTATGATGTAACTGTGTTTGGGAGAGCTGCCTGTAAACAATATCACGCGGAGAGTCTTAGCTACCGTCTTACGGAATTCTAGATGTTCACTGAGCAATTACAGAGTTGGTAAAATGGTTCAAAGACAAACTATCGGAGCTATCATCAGAGATGTGGGGGGGTCATGGTATGATGAACACTGGTGATCTGGAAAGACCGGAAGTTTGGTCTAAGTGAAGAAGATCGAAAAATTATTAAAGGTATGATCCGCCCTCATGATCGATTGAGCTCGAACTTGTCTATTCATCACTTAACCAGCCATCAAGAGTGTCGTCTTACCATCTTTTGGCTATAGTCACTGCACTTTTTAAACTTTAACATCAGTGCAGTTTCAAACTAGCCCAGTCAATCTCTCTCAGCCATGAAGTTCTCCATCATTGCGGGTTTCCTTCAAGCCCTGGCCCTCACTAGCCTTGTTGAGGGTTATAAGATCACTGGCAACAACGTCAACTGTCGCTCTGGTCCTGGCACCAGCTACTCAGTCAAAAAGACCTACGCCAAGGGCACCGACGTCAAGATCACCTGCCAGACCACTGGCACCAACATCAACGGCAATAACATTTGGGACAAGACCTCTGACGGCTGCTATGTATCTGACTACTATGTCAAAACCGGTACTAATGGTTATGTTACCACCAAGTGCTCGAGCTCCGGCTCTGGAAATAGCGCCAGCATTCCCGGCCCAATGACCGATGACTACCCATACAAGAGCAGCTGTGGCGGTGTGGATCCGTGGAATTACTACAAGTGCCAGTGCACTTCTTTCGTCGCGTGGCGCATCAATAAGCGTCTGGGCATCAAGTTCACCAACCGGTACAAAGGCGGCACCTGGGGCAACGCGAACCAGTGGGATGATGCGGCAAAGAAGGTCGGTGTCAAGGTCGACAACAATCCCAAGCCGGGCTGCATCGCCCAAACCGACAACGGCGGTGGAGGTTATGGCCATGTCGCGTGGGTTGCTGCTGTCAACGGCGACAAGGTCACCATTGAGGAGTACAATTACGCCAAGCCGAAGGGTTATGGAAAGCGGACTGTTCCTAAGAGTACTTTCAAGTACATTCACATCAAGGTGTAACTGGTCGGGGGTTGACGGGTGTTGACTAGCTCTGGGACACAAGATGTGAGGAGGACATGTGCATCTCACACCTCTATGTTTATAGATTGTCTTTTTTGTTCATTTATTTTAAGGGAATTTGTTTCACAGGCGGCACCTACTTTTGCTTGAATAACAATAGAATTATTAAAACACCAGACTTCCAATTCTGTGGAATTAGCTTGACTACTTGGCAAATTGATGTAAATTTTCTTCCAGTCCTGTGATCTTTTTGAAGCTGACATCTCAGTAAATACAGAACTGTGCCGTATCCAGCAACATGGTAATATTGGAATTCAACCGCTGCCACCTAGTCGAAGCAGTGAATCGTTGAGGTACGGCAGTTCAACCTGGAAGGATTGCTGCTGCCTTAACGGACCTGGCCTGAAATCTGCCTTCCTTTCCTGGGTTCTCAAGACTCAACATTGACTTCTGGGACACGTACCTTCCCGGACTGCCTACTCTTGCCTTCATAAGCTGTGTGTTGCAAGTCCAAACCGACGAAGAGTTGGCTGCTCCCCCACAATGTCCCAGCCTTGAACGACTAGCAGCCTGAAGTTTCTTCGTACCGTTCCTAGGAACCACATCATCATCTTCCGCTTCTGCTCAGACCGTCATATCGATACACCACCAAATCGCCTATGGCAATATTGGGCTCAAGGCAGCAAAGCCTCTCACCATAACACCAGGCCAAGAGCTTCGCCATTTCCCCTGTCCTGTCCCTCTAGCTCTACCTCAACAGCGACAGGCCCTGCTCGACATCCACCAGGTTTTGTGACATGGCTCATTGGTCGACACCTTGTTGACTCCCCCCGGCCAAACCAAAGAGCGACAGCCCGATGTTCCATGCATTGTCACCCCGAGTCTCGAATCTGGTGTGTAGGTCGTCACAGTATTGCACCAGCCCCATACACGGGGGTTAGCCATCTCACTATCAAACAAGACCGTATTGACAATTAAAGGCGTCATAGTTGCTCAAGGGTTGCTGGAGAATCTCCGCAACAATACAAAATCGGAAATTACACAGTCATGCAATCCAATGTTGCTATCCGACTCAAGTCATGCTGTTCAGACCCCACACTTGCTTCGGGCACACATGACCCTCCCAGCCCGGCAGATTCAGGCTATGCCTCAGCAATCAGCTCTCCAGAAAGTCCCGAGAAGAGAGCTGGAAGCCATGTAGGGAATTTTGGCGAGGATATCTGGATGCATGGTGATGGCAATCGATCTGACTCCGAGGACCCTTTTTGTGATGATGTGACTTCTGGGACAGAGATGATCGGATCCCAGTCCTTCACCTTGTTCACGATCCCTCCTTTGAGACGGACGTCATGCGAGACCCAATCTAGAACTGCGAGCTTGCCAAAGCGGTTAGGTCGACCAAAAGTAATGCCATCGTCTTTATTTAATCCAGTTTCAGTTGTTAGGCAACGCCAACGACCCTCCACTCCTGGGTTTTTCGGTTTTTCTGATCGCTTCATTCCAGCAAGACCACTTGGAACAACTCTCCACGACAAGTTCAAGACAACCAAACATCCTCATGAGCTGACACCTACCGAAAAACTCCTTCGGCATAGAAGTGCCACAGACGATGCGTTTCGATTTCGCCCAAGAACCATTCCACCCTTGGGTCCAGAATTCCGTTCACCGTCAGTAGGCGAGCGCCAAGTGAGCAGGAATAGAGGTCAGGAACCATCCTTATGGCGGTTGACGAAAATATTTTCGCTAATGCAGTCTCTAGTCGCAACTGTGCTTGGTCCGTTAGACCAGAATAGGATTGAAGCAGTTGATGGACAAGTTGGAGGCAGCACGATTTGGACAGTCGGCCTCGGAGGGACAGCTGTGGACAACGGCAGAGGACAGTCGTTGAGAAGCGGCACGAACGCCCCCCTCTACCGAGCAACCTTTCCGACTATCAAACCTAGAACAGATGAGGAACTCAGCAAGCACGAAGCTCGGCTTGCTGCAGCACTCGATCTTGATCGTGCACAACGAATCCTGAATGTGAATGTTACCCATCTCCCAGGACAACACTCTGCTGGGCGGAACCGCAGCCCATTGACACAGTGGAATGGGACGGAGTGGGTTAACGATGGACCTGTGCTTAAGCCTCGGAAAACCTTGGGAACTCGAAATCTGCCAAACGCCCCGTTCAAGTAGGTTACTGCAGATCTCGGCTTGTGAGTAACATGCAGGCTGACACACCAACTTAATGTAGAGTCCTCGATGCCCCAAATTTGAGGGACGACTTCTACTGCTCAATCATTGCATACTCGCCGACATGCCAAGCGCTCGCAGTTGGACTGGGAGATTTGCTTTATGCCTGGTCTGAGACCCGGGGCGTGCAGCTCCTGAGCGCAGGCACAGATGTCGAATGCCATCTCACAAGCGTATCTTTTTCGTCCACAGAGGGTGGAAAGGCGATTTTAGCATTCGGACGGTCAAACGGAACTCTAGGCTTAATGTCGCTTTATGATGACCCCGATCCGTCAAGTTCAAGAACCACCCCGATGCCCCGTTTTGAGGTCTCTCAGCCAGCACCTATTGCCTGCATTTCTTGGAAGCCTGTTTGCACAATTCGGCCATCGAAGAGCCAAATCCATCCAAATATTCCTGTCAAGACGGAAGATCTCCTAGTCGGTGATGAGTTGGGAAACGTCTACTATTATGCAGTCGAGTGGCCGGAGAGGTGGGAGGTAGAACGATACAACTGGGCTGGAGCTATGACTCCATTGCTTCGAATTTCTGTTCATTCACAGCAAATATGCGGCCTTGCTTGGTCTCTTAACGGCGAGGAATTTGCTACAGGCGGGAATGACAACCTTTGTTGTTTGTTCAAGACAGCAAAGGTTCTCGAAGTGCAAGCTCAGAGCGAGGCCATGAACGGGGAGCCCCAGGCTGCTCGCCAAATGACGACACGAATCAACCGAACCAGTGATAGCTCGGTGGCCGAGACACAGGTCCGGCTACATCACAGTACGCCCCCCATCCTTGGTCCCGGTTCTGAAAAGCACCGTTGGATTCACGGGGCGGCAGTCAAAGCCATTGCATTTTGTCCTTGGCAGGACAGTCTAGTGGCTACCGGAGGAGGTTCCAATGACAAATGCATTCACTTCTTCCATACACGATCCGGCGCCGCGTTGGCATCCATTTCGGTGTCGGCACAAGTCACCAGTCTAATCTGGTCTACTACTCGTCGAGAGATTGCTGCGACATTTGGATACGCACAGCCTGAGCATCCAATTCGCATTGCCGTCTTTTCATGGCCCGAATGCCAGCAAGTGGCGGCGATTCCGTGGGCCGGGGAGCACCGCGCGCTATATGCCATTCCATATCCGAATCCACCATCATACTCGGATTCAAGCAGGGATCGCCGCGACTATTCAAGGGCAGGCAGCACCGGCCCTGCTGCCCCCCCTGGAAGGACCAGTGCCAAAGGGAGGGATAAGGATATGGTCAGGGATGATCGCTCTGTTAACGACAGCGGCATCCGTCTCAGACGCAATACAGTCAGGGATGGCTGCATTATTGTCGCATCAAGTGATAAGAGCGTGAAGTTCCACGAAATTTGGTCCACGGAGGACAAAAAGGTGACAGTATCGGGCCCGGGAATTCTAGGCGGGAGTGATATCTTGGAGGGGCTAGAAAATATATTTCGGGATTGCGGAGTTATCCGGTGAGGAAAAGACCCAACCAAATTGCACCAGATTGTCGAGCAATGTTGCCGGAGGAGTTTTGGTGGAAGGTGCTGGTCATTAAGGGCAGAATGGCTGTCAAGCGTTTGTGCTTGTAAGGGGGAAGATGTAGAAGATGGGGCTGGTGTATGTGTAGGAACATGGCTAAAGAAAAGTATAGCAATTGTATTCCTTGACAAAAGGCCTGGTTGATGAAAGGTACTTTGTGCGATGTGTGGTGGAAGGAAAACGATGGCTGGAATCCATCAGCTTCATCTCGATAGTGTTTGTTCTCTTCAACAAAAAACACCCTTGTAAATGCCGAAGTGACCTTGGGGGGAAAAACCTGCTCGAATGATAGGTTCAGTGGGGCTCGTGTGGGAGGAAAAATTTTACAAAAGAGATTGCCCAGTAACAGGATTGAACTGTTGACCTTCGCATCACTCGATATAACTGAGACGTTATATTAGTACGACGCTCTAACCAGCTGAGCTAACCGGGCCTGCCAATTGATCATAAGGCTAATGGTGAGTGAGACCCCATCAGTGAGGTATGCTCAGTAGCCACTGAGAACGTTCTAATTATGATGGGTCATAGGAACGGAGGAGTCTGCTTGAACGATATTGAAGGACAATAGAAGCATACACATAGAAAATGGATGCACTATAAGAGATCGAAATAGACTCTGATAATAAAAAAGCCAAAACGCCATCCTTCCCATAACGCCATGACGAAATGCACACTTAACCGCCCGACATGGAAGCCCGTAAGCAACCCCTTTCCTGCTTTTGACTCAAAGATACATAAACCGCGTGTTCAACAGCAATTGTTTTCCTTCATCCCTCATAAGCCTCATTTCAAGATAATAATCAACAATATTAACACCACAATCAGCATGACAATCACCCCCAACTGCCGTCCCTCACTTGACCTTGACGCGCCCCTCGCGATCCTCCCAACGTGTCGCCGCGCTCTCCCCAGCGCGTGCTCGTGCCGGTCCATCGCCCGCTCGCTTTCGTCCAACAGAGCCACTTGGCTATCTAGTTCGTCGCCGATTTGCATGCTGAGCTCCCGCTGCCGCGCGATGCTGGCGCCCAGCGCGTCGAGCTGTGCGTCCTGCTCGGCCAGGATCCGCTGGTGATAGGCGTGAATTTGCGCGTTGGTTAGGTTGTTGACAGCGATGTTTCGGGCGTAGCCGGCTGAGTCGTCGTCGTCAAGGAGGGTTGGGTCATCGCGGTAGGGAGGCAGGGGCGTTTGCGATTCGAGGTCGGCTGTGAGGGAGGAGAAGCGGACTGCTTTCTTTGGTAAGGGTTGCTGTTGTTGGGACTGGGGAATTGGTTGTGAGGACGATTGTTCGCTTTGATGGTTGGCAGAAGCAGAGGATTGCGCGTGGGCAAAGTCCGCGGCTAAAGCGGGGTCGTTGGGAGATGTGAGGGTTGAGGAGGTAGCGGCGGAGGTGAAACCATGAAATTGCGAAGATAATTCAGTATATTGCTTGCGCAACGAAGCAACAGTATCGGCGAGAGAGGTTGCTTTCCTGTGTAGGAGATGTTAAACTGGTTTCCTTGAGGACGGGATGGGAAAAGTTGACATACGACTCATCTCCAGCTGCCTGTAGGCGCTGCTGCTCCTTCTCAAGTGCTTCTAACCCATCGCGAAACTGATCAAGCGAGCGTGCTATGTAACCCTCTTGCGAATCCCTCTTGAGTCCCAGTGACCGGGCACGCTGCTGCTCCAGGAGCGACAGTTTAATATGGTCGGCCAGAAGAAGCAGAGAACTGGCCGACATGGTGCAAGATCAAAGCACTTGAAAACAGACCCCGGAAAGCAGCGCCCAGCGCACCGACGACTTCGAAAAAAAAATCGAGATGTCTTTTGGTGAGGGTGATGACCTCGGCGAGAGGAAGCGATGTGGTGTTTTCCTTGGCTGAAGGAGCAGGACAGGTTGGGTACTCCCCAGCTGCGATACGGTTGTTGTCTTGCGTCGGCAGAGACGCAGGCCCAGGGGCCGCTGTCGAGATCAGCAGGACCCTGGTGGCTGGCCAAGATGCCAAGACGCCAAGATCAAAGATGATCCGTGCGTCATGTGACAACCACCTGGAGCAGGATCAATCCAATCGCCGGCCACTGTTTAACCGCGAACTCGCCTCTACAAAAAATGCGCGCGCCTCACGTTTTCTATTGCCATCTTTCTTGTAGCAACTGACTTATTCACTTTCAGCAACCCCTGTGAAGGGCTTCAGGTTGAAAATATCAGAACATTTTCAAGATGACGGAAACAAATGAACCTGTTGCCAGCAATGTCATGACCGGTGAGCCTAATTTCGGCAGCACCATGGCACCAACAATGACCCTCCCCGAACAACCACAACTATCCTTGGCCCCTCAGCAAGACACCAACCCTCCGTTGCAACAGACGCAGCCTGCCCCTGAACGACCTAGCAAGAAGGCTTCGGGTCAGTCACGTCAGAAGAAAAGTGGCAATGCCTCCAGCTCTGCCGCTCCTGGTCCCCAGGACGATGGGATGCCATCGGCTTTTTCCAAGAAACGACGCGGTCGTCCTCCTGGCCGTCCAAACACAACGGTCAAAGAGTCTGAGTACGAGAGTGACCCCTTAGTCCAGAAATGGAATGCGGCAAAAGCCGAACGGGCTGTTTCTGTTGTAACAATCGGCATCCGGGAAGCCTTAACGGAGCAGTCTTTGGTCCATGAAATCCAAAGAACCATCTTCAAGCTTCCCAGTCGCGAGCTTATTGAGTTCGTTCAGGGCTGGATCACGGCAAGGCATATTGCTTCTCGACGTCCAAGCTACATCAATGGATTGCTTATTCATTCTCGGGGAGACGATGCTCCCGTCTCCTGTCAACAATGTACCGAACGCCGGGCGAAATATGCCCTGGGCCCGTTCTTGAGCTGCCGTGTCTTGCCGGGGTATTTTCATAACAGCTGTTCCAATTGCAAGTGGTTCGACAATACATCCCTCTGCTCACTATACACGGGTCCTAAGCCAAACAGAAAACGCAAGGCTAAGGACCAGCTTCCAGCCCCTCCTCAACCTGATGACAATGCAACCAACGAGGCGGCTTCCCGGTCTGCTCCTCGTGAGGAACTGGTTACCCAACCTCAAGCTCTTCATAACCAAGGCCTGCCCAATCAACCTGGCCATTTAATGGTACAAAATGGGCATCTACCGGCAGAGGGAACTTCGACTTCATCCACCTTTTCCGAAGCAGATGGATCTCAGCTAGCCGGCTCTGCAAACCAGACCAACCATCTCACTCATTCACATTTTCTTCATACAAATCCTGACCAAGACCCTACAGGTGCCCACGAAGCGGGTGCGGTCGATGGCGACACGGAGTAAGTTATGCTTGATTGGACATAATTACTGTTAACTGTACTGACCACTTGCCTTTTCTGTTGCGTTATAGGTTTGTGGATGCTCAGTTGGCAGAGCAGCTGTTACCCGAGATTGGGCGTCATGAGTCATGAAAGGAGTATACGATCCATAGGATCACATCAATTGTTATCCTGAGCCTGATATCGTTCTATTCGTTCCATCCAGCATGATGGGGTTTATATCGTAAAGTACTTGGACGTTGCCATCTACCATAATCGTCACATCCCTCCATCTCTCTGATTTAAGCATTATCAAGAGCATCTTTTTATTGCAACAATGAAAAAAATATATCGAAATTCCCTTCATCGTGCAGTCCAATACCCAATAACTCGACAAGTACTAAGCCTGGCGAGCAGCTGGGTAAGTGTGGCTCCTACCTTCTCTGGCCTGACAAAGTGTACTCCTCAACATGCTCGGCCTGTGAATTTTCAATGAGCTAACTAATCTTAATTTTGCCATCAGTTTAACGCTCCTGTCACCTGGATTAACGAATCAAAGGGGCTATAGCTGCGGTTTCGAGCTGGGCTAGCGGCAGACAAGGCAAAATGGAGATCTTCACCAAACGAGCTCGACCTCATTGGGTGAATACCACGAGCTCCAATTAATCTTGTCTCCTAGCCCGTTTCGAGGGCTTGCCGTGGGCAGCTAAAAGTGAATCATACCGGTTACGACACCTCTCGATCAACAACATCTTAGCCAAACCGACTCTTCCTCATTAAATTTGTCCGTCACGTCAGAATTGCTAGGTTGATGCCGATGGAATTAACTGATCCCAGGCTTCCTATTGGCACGCTCGGGCATTTCTACTTTGACATGCTGGGTCCGTTTCTTCTCCCTGCAGCAGTTGACAAAAGTCTGTGTTGCAAGTCCACTCTCAAACGGTATTACGGCAGTGGTATCAGCAAGTATCTTGTCAATCGACAGCCGATATTGGCCCAGAATAACAACCCCAGTCCCTGGAGCCACTGCAAATGCAACATGCTCCCAACTCACTAGCAATGCCTCGATCTATTCCACCGCACTCTTGAAATGAAAAAGGAGGTGAAGCATATCTGCGGCAAAGACACTCTTCATCGTCAAGCATACTTCAGAGGCCAGGCTACTGAGTCACTAACAACCTGCGCATTATCCAATAAGGATGGGTCTTGCAGAAGAGAGCCGAGGAAGCTACTGCTGCTGCGAAACAATCACAAAGGCCACAGCCGGCAAACCAGCCAATAAGGCTCTCCTGGTGGGAAATACTTGGCATCGATGCTCCTCCTGAGCAAGGTTACGTCCAAGAACCCTCTGGTGTCTTCTACACGGGGGAGAAATCATGCGCTGTACAGCAGGGCCACAGACTGCTCATGTCAGTGGAGGATATTTTGCTCCACATCCACACCAAAGAGAAAGTGAGAGCGATTAAAGTACGGACAGTTCTGGTGAGCTTTGGGGTCAAGGCGCAAACACAAGGACAAAGCATCGGGAGGAATGGAAGAGTGGACGGTCAATGCAGAACCACAGTTCCTAGAGAACCCGCTAACCATATCTACCACGGGAATAAGATAACAAACGAAAACAATCCGGTTCTGTTGACAATCATTGAATGTCAAAGCTGACAGTGTTGAATAACTAGTTCGACTGATGCCTTCAAAGATAACCTGGGGTTTCGGAACTGCCTTTTGGGGTTTTGTATGGAACGTAGCAGGAAAATCTGACAACCAATTCTGTTTGTGCCAGGTTATCTTGTCGTTATATAAGGCCTAATAATTTTATTGCGCGAGATTTCTACCTGCGTAGCTTCCATGGTAAAGTTATATGAGTGAACTGTCTCGTCCACCAACTCGGAGGTGTTTGGCATTATCATGACCCATTCTCAAATCTCTTAATCGAACATAGGATTTATCCCCGTCCGAGGTCACTTGTTACTTGTCACAGATCATGGTAGTTGTCATATATAATCACTTGGCTAGTTTTCAAGAAAAGAGGCTGTTTACTAGAGAACACGTGCAGGTCTGGACATTCATAACGCCCCCGATATTATTCAAGGGTTGAAGTACTGCCATTCCATGTTAAGAGACAAGAATCAGTACATATCTAGTCGCTTGCCCATGTCTTCCTGCCTTTTTGCTTAGCTCTCAATGAATCGACGACATCGTGTTCTGGCACTTTCTTGCATCATACCTTAACAATGCCATTGTGGAGAGATTCTCGTCGCTATCTTGCCGTGAATATCATCCGTGATCCTCAGGGCTGCAAACTCAATGTCACCAAGCTGAGCAACCAGCAGATCCAATCAACCCCTCAGCGACGATGGCCATAACATCGAGGCCTGCCATTGCCATGGTAGAAGTGCCTTTGGCTGCGGCGATCATGATACTTGAACATGAAGGCTGACTCCGATCCGCGCGAGTACCGCGAGAAATCGAGCAGTATGGCGCGAATCCCGCAGTGAAGGATGGAAAGGTTGGGACGGTGCCGGTACTTACACCTGCTGAACCCTCAATGCCTTATTTCATCCCCAAAGCACATCTGGGCGTGCTCCAGTTTACATTCGAGACATGAAGACTCCAACTGTTCTATTGCTAGATTAGTGCTAGCAACAATCATCCACAACTTGTTCTTATAGCCATCAATGATGAACCTTGAAACAGACTCCGAAGTCAGGAAGAGTATGGGGATAAACAACTTTTAAGATGTAAGAGAAGTTGATTTCTTTATTGGCTTGAAACGCTGAGTCTCTGAAAAGCTCGACAATTCTTGGGGTGGCTTAATGCATGAAGGACTTGCTGAGTCTTTGTCCTTTGAAGCAGCTCCCCATCGAAGCGAGCTCCTTGCGAGGCAAGCCCAATACCTCCACTAGTTGCTTTGAGTTCCCATGTATTATCAGAACTCTGGGTTGATGGTTGGATGCTTTGTAAAATCTTGGTCACTTTTATGCATTTGACGGCAAAATTCGTCGGCAACATCTCTTGTAGGGTCCTTAGCTAAGTCGACCATGAGTAAGTAACGCCTATCTCCAAGGCTTCAAGTCAACCCTTCTGCTATAATCTCTTGGTAAAACTAGCCTTCTCAATATCTTGTGTACTTCAAATGCTATTGGCATCGAAGAACTTCAAAGTCGTAATCTTCTAAGGCCAAAACTTTCTTATGTTACTCAGAAGATCACATCATGAAACCCGTTACCAGGACGTCAATATGCAGATCAGAATACAATCACGACTGTCCTTATTCATCACTCTTGCTGCATCCTATGCATTCACACCTTACCCCTCATTTCCATCCCGTAGCAACTGTCAAAACAGACTCCCGATTCCAAGCATTATGTAACCCTCAGTGTTTGATCGTCCCTTTTTGCAAGCTGTTCCCCCACCTCATGCACAACGCTCAACATAGATATGTACCATATGCAGAAGCCCATACCGCACATGGAACCCGGCACCAAGTACACACACTGTGGTTTCTCAACTGCCGATCCATGGAACAGCTTGGACCAGATGATGCCATACCCTGCCTACCTTGGTTTGGGGGGGAGGGGGGGAGGGGGTATTATGATAGTTCATGACAGAGTACACTGATGAACCTACCTTGGCCACATTCATGTGACAGAGGTTATGGTGCTGTTTTCATGACAGGAGGATGAGAGTAACATATTCTTGTTTTAAGGTTATAGGGCAGACAACAAGTGAAAAGAGTGTGAGGATAGCAATGCCAGACGAAACAACTGTTCCCTATACTGAACGCCCAGGTCTCCCTACCACGCACTGCATGGATATCGGAGGAATCTTACGTAGGATCTTCGCCTTAGATCCGCAAGAAAGACTTTACAGGGTTTGGCGCGTGGGGGACACGGGTTAAGTGAGATGCAAGCACGGATGATGCTAGTGTTAGCGTGCTGGCTTAACATGTGCTTGGATATCTCGTTGTGTCGATCGATGTTCAGTGTAAGGGCGGGTTGTGTTTCACGCAGGGACGGAACTCCTAGATGCAGTGAGCTCTATGAGTGTAAGGAGTACCTAATGCACCAGGCAGGCGCTCACTCACTGGCAGATCTTCATCAACCTAGTCCTGAGCTGACTCAAACCAAACACTCTCACAAATATGTTCTAATAAGGTGCGCAACATTTCCTGATCACCAAGCATAAAAAAGCAAATTGAAACAACGTTCTCAAGCACATCACACCCGGTCCCCCCCAGCGGGGCTGGCCTTCATTAAGATGGAGACTAAGTGCCGAGCCATTGAAAACCACACTTGCGCACTCATACACTCGCACAGACCTTCATGAGCCTCACCCATCTGGGCAGGGAGAAACGAGACACTGGAACCAAGACCACTGGTGCGGTGATAAGAGTGGAGGAGATCTGGGGTAGGACATACTGCAGCTTGTCAATACTTTATTCCATGGCAATGGATACAAAAGTTCTTCTGCATTTCTTCACAAGCCATATTGCTTTCATAATGGTAAACAAAAGGTTTAGTCAAGCTTGCGTAAGAGGTGTAGAAGGATTAAGATCTTTTTTCGATGTATGTGTTGCATCCAATGGCACAGAACCCCGCTCTGAGTGCAGGTGTGGCTTGCATCTCCTTGTCTTCTCGAACCCTTTTCTTTTTGCCCCTGCCAACATCGCTGCTACCGATGATGTCTTATCGGCACATACGTATTCACCTCCACCCACTAAACAAATGACATCAAAGAAGCGCCACCCAAACCCTGGCTGGCCTTCCCCTCCCTCAGAAAGAAAGAGAGGAACTCTCAGGGGCGTGAATAAAACGAACACAAAGTGTGTACCTAATGCTCGTAGGGGCGATCCCGAGATGATGCCATCCTCCACTCACGTGCACGCGAATATAGCGCCAAGTGGATATGACTGGTACAATGAAAGTTGTTCATCAACACTTGGTCAGATTGGCTATCTGAACCTGAAAAATTGTCACAGTCCTTCATAACTTCAAGTATACTTACTGAAAGTTATGGTCTCATTGTATATTCCTTCAATATTGCAGTTAAGAAATGACTGTAACTCTAGGGTACATACTTCGACCATCTATCCCCTGTTCTTAACACAACATGGCAGAGGGCGAGCGAGAAGATGGGCAGGGAGCAGGATGTTA